TAAACTTCAGCAACACTTGTTTCGGGCTTTCCATGGAAAGCACACCGCAACTGTGACCGGCTCTTGTCAATTGCGCTACATCCATTAATGTGGAATTGTGCACGGTTTACGAGGAGCTATTATCGATTTGAGAAGAGTCTCAACACATTAGAAGACGCTGTCAGGAGTCACTCAATGTGGAAAGTCGGAAAGCAGTGAGGAAGTCTGATTCTGTGCTTGTTGAAGATCCACGGTACTCACAACTCTGACTGATCATGCCTATGGCATGAATAACGAAAAGTCGAAAAGTCCGAGTCCGATTCATTTCTTGCAAGGACCTTGCAAGGACCATAGCTTATGGTCCACCACCCGGCCATACGGCTTCTACAAGAAGTGTACCCATTTTTGAAATCAGGGTTGCCCATGCCACCATTCCGCTAGGAAACCTTCTCGTGCACCCGAGGAAGGGCAGAATACATGCGTCAGGGTACAAGTTTTCGAAATTACAAAATGGCTACTAGTACTGTATCGAATGAGGAACAGAAGCCTGATGCTTTTGAAGCCTGGGTTGGGGGGTGGGGAGAATTGGAATAATCTCAAACAAGCTCAAGGCAGTAACACGAGCTCGGAGCTCGACGACAGGTGTCGGCGAAACGAGCTCGATTGGAAACACAGTGTCCGTCCGATGGAGCTTGGACGGCTCGATGAACAGTAATTCGATACCTACCGGTCACGGCCGCCGAACCCCAATAGGTCGGTACCGTAACCCAACGATGTGCACCGCGTTTATGTCATCGGAACGGTTTCAGGGGGTTTAGAGTACCCGTCAATACTGCCCCTTCCAAGTAAGGATTCGAGCAATTCGCCACATGCAGCTGGCGGAACTTGCTCGATGGTCCATCGAGCAGCGATACAAGTTCCAATTCTCCCCACCCCCCCTCCCTGGAACCTGGAAAGACACAGAGTCAAAGAGGTCATGGCTGTCCTGAGGCTGAGAACAGCAAGTATCACCAGTATCACCTTATGAAAAGAAGGAAGACAGAGCGTTGTAGCGCCGCACACGTAGAAGCTTTCATAGGGCCGCGTGCTGATCTCTCTTGCTCAGCAAGTTGCTGGAGTCTGCCCGGAGAGGGCGCAGAAAACATAGGAAGGCAGGTCAGGAGCTGACCCCGTTCTTTGTACCCAGTGTGGCAGGAGAATTGGCCGCAGCCCTCAACCATGGACGAGAGCTGGCACCGCCGCAGCAATGACACCACCAGCTCCTATGGGCAGACGTTCAAACGGTCCAAAATGGTTTTAAATACTGGTGATGATCTGGTCCATTTCAACAGCAGCCCTCTTGATGCATCCACTGGTCCAAAAAGCTGCTTCGAGCCTGGCAAAATTGGGGCAGCATTGGAGACCCCGTTGCTTGAGCAGTACAGAAGTGCGCTCAGCGATCTGAACGGAAGGGCCTTCCCAAAAGAGAAAGGAGTCTCCGGGGGCTTTGCAAGGAGAAAGGAAAACCAGGAGCCTCATTTCCAACCCGTCAGCTCCTTCAGGGTACGCAGTCAGAAATCCTTTCCTGCCGAGCCTTCCCGACAGCACTACAACCATCTGGCTGGCAGTTGCGCTGAAGCAAGTAACTGTCAGGACGGTGATCTCAAGCTGCTCTCGGCGCATCCCCCAGTATCTCCTGTCAGCTTAGACTGGCAGGATTCCCAAGTCAAGCTCTCCCAGTCTGAGACCCGTTGCTTAGGTGAACCAAATGCAGGACCTGCGTACAAGGGAGGGTGCACAAACTCTGAGACATCAGACGAAGAAGAAGATGATGCCGACCTGTTCTACGACTGGAGAGCAGCCGCAGGTGCGGCCACACAAGAGGACAGTGCCTCCGAGAAAGCTCATGCAGAGTCAGGAGCAGCTACTGACAGGCCTTCCAAGCAGGGTTTTGAAGCAACTCAATGCAGCAGAAACGGAGCCATTTGGGAAGTCGGCGTCACTGTCCAGAGCCTTGGAGGTCAGTGTTGGAGTCAGAACGAGTCTCTCCCGAGTTGCCAGGATGCTAAACAAGACCCTGAGGAGCAGAAAGCGCAGGCAGATAGTGACCTGGAGAATGACAGTCAAGAGGGGGCCCTTTCTCAGCTGCTCGAGATGGTGGACGAGGATGTACTCAAGCCTGGCAGTGACATAGAAGCAGACTGCGTTGGTCCCAATACTGAACCAGAGTTTATGAGAATCAGTGACGTAAACTCTGCGCGGTGTGAACTGCCGTTGTTGATGGAGAATACGTCAACTTCCGGTCAGAAAGGGAGAGTTCTCAGCAGAGAGGAGCGGAGCCGGTTCATTCTGGAGGCATCTCAGGCGGTGCTGACAGACTCTGGGGATCAGAGTGGGGGCGAAGAATCAGAGGGGGAGGATGACGAGGCGCTGGAGTGTCCAGTGTGTGGCGTCAGTCTGAAGCAGATGGAAGCGGCCAGTCGGGATGCGCACACAAACCGGTGCTTGGATGGAGCGGAAGGAGAGGTGAGATGACAACTTCGGACAGGCCTTGTTTCGAGGTTGATGGTAGCAGGAAGAGGTTGCTTCTGATCAGCGGGGCAAGCAGGGCCCAAAAGTATGCGGATGGGTTCCCTACTTCGAGCCATTAACTTTGTGTTCCAAGAACAACTCGATGCTTTGCAGAACAGTTTATCCTGACGCGGCAACTGCAAATGCAGAAATTAAGCGAAAATGGAGACTTTGATGGACCTTTCTCTTGCTTGCATAAGCTTCCTGACGAGACTGTAGATGTTACAATCCCTCAATTCCAACCCAAGAAGTTGGCTTCGTGGATTTCAACTGCTTGCGCTCAAGAACAAGGAAGCTGCCTTCGCTCGTGAAGCTCTTGCGCTCAGACGTCACCACTAGCAAAGAGAACACACCTCAGCCGATCCCACCAGTAATCTACGTCCACAGCATGATCTCCCTTCACTTTTCTCAGGACGACCATCACGCTGACTCAGCCAAGGCCGCCTCTCCCCCGGACCCCTCTGCCACAGACGTAAACCGTTGCGGCCTCGACAATGCCCCGCTCGTTGCGTGGCTCGACAGACTGCAGCTGGGACGATATGCGGAAGCTTTTGTAAAAGAAGAGGTCGACTTCGACGCTCTTCACTGTCTAAAAGAGGAGGTGGGGTTTCTTCGCGTCTGCTTTGTGAGAAAACATCTCTGGTATGTGCATATAAGGCTCTGCTGTAGCATATTCCAGCAACAAGAACTGGGATGCATCTGCTAGAAGTTCCTTTGCTACAAGTTTCTTTCTCAGTTCTCTTCTTCCAGCTTGCTTTTGCCGTCTCTTCTTGGCTGTTTTGGACGTTGAAGCTCGTTATCCTCCTATGCAGGACCTGGAGTCGATGGGAGTCGTTACATTGGGGCCCAAACGGAAGCTGCTGGCTGCTATCGAGACGCTCAGGAGGCGGTCGGAAGGGGAAAGCACACCAGCCGGATCTGCTCATCAGGTTCGTGCTTCCAACTAAAAACCTGGATCAACGATCTTCTGATTGGAGGAATCTGGATCATCAAGCTGCTTTCGTTTGCTCTCAAGCACATGTAGTCTGACGTGTTCCTCAAGCAGCAAGAATGTGCGTCTGGCGAGCAACAACATTAGAAACCAAGAAATGTCCAGCTGACTGAGAGGAGCACGGTGCCAAGTAGTACTCTGCGGTGCCTCTCGACTTCGTATCCTATTCGTCCAGCTGGTTTGAACTGCGGCTTCAATATGGAGAGCCGTCATTCCCATGAAACGCCTCTCAGTTGCTAAAAGGCGGCTAAGCAGCTGTGTAATATTGCTCTCGAACCAAAGGCTTGTTCAGCGTATGCATTTCCCCCGACTTTACATGACTTTTCTTGCTTTTAATTGATATTCCCCCCCATCATCGTGTCAATTTGAGTAGTCATCCGCTTCTCAGTCCTGCAGGACGCGGCAGCAGACGCACCGCCCGTGCACAAGCCTGCCGCCGCAGCCAACCGCCAAATCACGGACTTCTTCCCGGCGCCTTCCGGAGGGGTTTCCGCCACCGCCGCCTCTTCCAAGGGCCTCATCACCAACTTCTTCACCACGCCCGATGGCAAACGTCTGCCGCCGCCCTCGCCAGCTGTCGCCCCAGCAGCAGGTGCGAATTGCGGTAATTTGCATTTGGAGGTCGTGGGCTCTTGACACGTGTCAGACTCACTGTGGCACTTTGCCCGGCGGCATGACCCGGGTTGGCTTGGTGCCCTTGCTAGCTGTCGCCCCAGCAGCAGGTACGCATAGTTCGGCCACGTGCCGCGGGGTTGGTGGTTCTTTACTTCGTGTCAGAACACTATCGCGGTTTGCTCAGTCCGGTGCCCTCGCTGGATCGTGGCCCCAGCAGGTGCGCAGCTGTGATCATCTGCCGTAGGTTTGGTGGGCTCTTGACATGCGTCGGAAGCACTGTCGCTTTTTGCCTGGCGGCATGACCTGGGTTCATTCTTGTCGGAAGCACTACCGCTTTTAGCCTGGCGGCATCACCCGGGTTGAGTCGGTGCCCTCGCACAAATTATTGTTCAGCAGCAGGTGCGGGATGTGGCCAAGCTTTCTAGGTTTGCTGGCCTCTTGATACGTGTCAGAAGCACCGTAGCAGTTTGCCTCAGATGTGTCCACGTGAATCAGTTTGATGGGTGCCCGTAGGAAGGTTTGAGATCATTGAGCACCCGATCACGAAATCAGGGCAGCAGGAGCTTTGTGGTTGGCTCAATTCCATTGTAATGTAGCGCCCAGTCTTGCAGGTTTGTGCGACTCTAATAGATGGCCCTCCTTCAGAAACGCTTGGTTTCCAAAAAAACTCTTTTGTCCGAAATTTGCAATTTGAGTGTACGGTCTGAGAATGAGGCAGAAAGAAATTGGGGGACATCAATCTTCCGTATTGGCGCGGAGCAAAGGCCTCTTGCTTTTTTGCGAATTGCATTCCCTGTTTCTCTTTCGTTTTGAGCTGTAAGGGCTGAGCAGATTGATCAGACCCACGTGTTCTTTGCTTGACTGAAAAGCGGACGGGGCGCCTTCGTTGCGAAATAGGGCAATCCTTCGGGCAAGCGCGCGGGGGTTCCTGGAAGCAGGGTTTGTATCATCAGAGATTCATGTTGACAACTTTGTACAACTAAGCTCAATCTCCTTGTTGCCAGGTAGGGGCCGGGGCGCCTTCGTTCCGAAGAAGGGCAATCCCCCGGGCAAGCGCGGGGGTGCGTGGAAGCAGATCTCCGGGGACCCACACGAGTGGCATCTGGTGCCCGGAACAGACTTCCGGGTTGACGGCTTCCGCTTCCAGAGCCCGCACTGCCGCTACTGGTTCCTTTCTCACTTCCATGCCGATCGTAAGTTCGCGTTTCTTTCAACTTGCTTCCCTTTGAGCGATACCTGGGTTTTTATGGAAGTCGTGGTAAGAGAGTCGACTTCTAGCTCGGTGAAATGTCTTAAAAATACTCGCTGCCATGGCTGCTTCTCTTACCGTGTTTCCAACGGCTGCTTGCAAAGCTTAACAACAGTTCTTACCTTCAGCAGGGCGAAAACCGATACTCGTCTTGCATTTTGTAACCTGCCTGTAGCGCATTCCCGGAACCCTTCGCATTGAAAGACCAGGCATTGGATAGGAAGGAGACATACGTTTCCCCTAAGCGATCTGAACGCGGGTAGCGTCGAAGCCAAAAGTTTGTCGACTCTAAGAGCTCGTCAAGCCTTGTGCCCTGCAAACTACTAGGGCCTGACCCGCAACTTCCGGCACGGCGTCATCTTCATCCGTGACGAAACTGTTGTCGACGCTGAACTCTTAGCCAGTCTGATTCTCCTATTACGAGTATCACTTCCTGTTTAAGAAAGAACGAAAAGAAATAAAAGCACTGTCAAATTTTGCCCTGCTCACCAGGCTGCCAGGGCCTGACCCGCAACTTCGGGCACGGCGTCATCTTCCTTCATGACAAAATTGCTTCCGATGCTGAACTCTCAGTCATTCTGAATCCGATATTACGAAGACCACTATGTTTCATTAGAAGAAATGAATCTACATAGACATTCTGTGCCCCACAGACTACCAGGGCCTGACCCGCAACTTGCGGCACGGCGTTGACTTCACTCACTGGACGAAAGTGTTTCCGACGCTGAACTCTGCTCGAATCTGGCAATCGGATTTCCAGATTGCCAAAGCTGATTGTTTCAGTGCAAAAACGAGGGAAAAAAACAAAGAAAGCATTCTGTGCCCCACAGACTGCCAGGGCCTGACCCGCAACTTCCGTCCCGGCGTCATCTTCATTTACCGAACGAAAGCGTTTTCGACGCTGAAGTCGCCTTCAATCAGAACCCCAAATCACGGAATATGATAATTTCTGTTAGAACAAAAGAGCTCAAAAGAAAAGAAAAGAAAGAAGCATCCTGTGCCTCACAGACTACCAGGGCCTGACCCGCAACTTCCGGCACGGCGTCATTTTCTGCACGCCCATCACGGCGCGCCTGGTCCACATGAAGCTGGGCGTCCCGCTGGAGAAGCTCCGCCCGCTGCCGCTCAACGAGCGCACGCGCGTCGACAACTGCCACGTCACCCTCCTGGAGGCCAACCACTGCCCGGGGGCGGCCATGATGCTCTTCGAGCCCGACGGCGCCAAGGTGACGTCAGCATAATTTCTTAGAGAAGGGGAGTTGCGTGGATTGGAGGTGTCATTGAGGGAGATTGTCTGTTCGAGCGAGAAAGCTTACTTCGATGAGTGGAATTCACAGTCAGCTTCACGAACTTTAGAATCGTGATGGCATCCCCGTCACTCTGGCGGGATCCTCGCAATGCATGAGGAGTAAAGGCGTCTTGACGCAACACTTTGCATTGCGAACCTTCTTCGTCTTCCCAACCCGCTTTGCACAGCGTCAATGTATTACTCAGAAGAACCATACGAAATTCTAAAACAAAAAGATCTTGCTCCGATTTCCTGCTGCCACAAGCCGACGTTCAGCCCAGCCATTTCTCCAATTTTTCTACGCATCCAAATCTCATAAGTAAGCACTTTAATTGAGAATTTCTGCTTCTTGATTCGCAGCCGACTCTTCACACCGGCGACTTCCGCTACTGTCCCGCCATGGCGCGCTACCCCGCGCTCCGAGCAGTGGAAATCGGCACCCTGATTCTGGACACCACGTACTGCGACCCCCAGTACGACTTCCCGGAGCAGGATGCCGTCATCCAGTTCGTCATCGATGCGATCCAAGCCGAGACGTTCAACCCCAAGACGCTCTTTCTGATCGGGGCTTACACCATCGGTGAGTCTCAGGGTCATTCAGTTCAGTTTTATAGTCATTCTGTCTCAATTTTCATCATCAACTTTTCTAGACACCCAGTTTGTCGTTGGCGCATCTTGAGCAGAGACATTCAACCCCGAGACGCCCTTCCTGATCGGGGCCTAGACTTGATCGGTGAGTTTAGGGTCACCCACTTTGGTTTTGGGGTCAGTTTCAGTTTCTGGTGTCAAGGTTAAGTTACCCAGTTCGGCAGCGGCGCAGTACAGGCCGAGGTGTTCAATCCCCAGACGCTGTTCCTGGTTGGAGTCTACACGATTGGAAAGTGTGCCAGAGCGGTGATACAGGAGAAACGGAAACATCGTCAAGTGGGGCACCAAACCAGGCCCTTTGTTGGATCTTTTTTACCACGTTTCCAAAGCAGGCTCTCGCCGAAGGCGCTACGGAACGACACGTCTGCAACCAGGAACGACACATCTGCACCCAGGCAACGAGTGCGTTTTTTCCGGGAGGTCGCTTGGGCGCTAAGAAGAAAGTGGGTAGCTATGACCGTTAACGGCCCGTTTGAATCTCCAGGCTCTCAGAACCGGAAACTTTGTTACGACTTGTCGCGCTCCAGATTAGGCTCCAGCTGAATGCGAGTTGGCGTCCGAGAACGGAGCAGCTAATTCTGCAGGCTCACTTCTTTGCCATTAAGCTCTCAAGGAAGACTCCCAACTAACGAACAGTTCGCATTCACGCATGGAGCGCGTGTGTTTGCAAAGTCGCGCGTGAGCTCAACACCAACTTCTTCGACAGTAAGCTCTCAAGGAAGCCTCCCTACTAACAAAAACCTTGCATCTAGGGAAAGAGCGCGTGTTTCTGGAAGTCGCGCGAGAGCTCAACACCAACTCCCCGACAGTACGCTCTCAAGGAAGGCTCTCGTCTAACGAAAAGTTTGCACTCAGGCAAGGAGCGCGTTTTTCTAAAAGTTGCTCGGGAGCTTAACACCAACTTCTTCAAAGTAAGCTCTCAAGGTAAGGCTCTCAACTAACGATAATTTTGTATTTAGGCAAGGAGCGCGTGTTTCTGGAGGTTGCTCGGGAGCTCAACACCAAGGTGTACGTCGGGGCTGCGCGGCGCAAGGTGCTCGCGTGCCTGGACCTGCCCGCCGAGGACATGGCGCGACTCACCAGTGAGTGCCCACGTCATTTGTGACGTCACATAGACTGCGGTCAAACCCCGCCCCTTTTGCCCCTCTTTCCTCACGAATAGCTTCTGCGGCGTGGCGCAAGGTGCGTGTGCCTGGACCTGCCGGCCGAGGACATGGCGCGACTTACCAGTGAGTGCCCTTGTCATCTGTGGCGTCACTATTGTACTTCGGCCGACTCCAAATCCCTTTCTCCTAGTCGATTGGTGCTGCGCGGCGCAAGGCGCTAGCGTGCCTGAACCTGCTCGGTGAGGACATGGCACGACACACGAGTGAGTCCCGACGTCACATGTGACGTCATCATAGACTGGGGTCAAACTCGCAGCTTTTCCCCCTTCTTTTTCATGAATAGCTTTTGCTGCGTGACGTAAGGTGCTCGCGTTTCCTGGACCCGGCCGCCGAGGGACCTGGCATGACACACGAGTGAGTGCCCACGTCAACCGTGACGTCACTATAAACCGTGGTCAAACCCGAGTACTTCCCCTTTCCCCAGTAGCCTGTGGAAGAGGAGTAGAGGGGTCGGACGGAAACTTCTGCATCAACGGTCTCTGGATCGGCATCGGCCCACGTTCTCTTGCATCGCTTGTCCGGAAAAGGTCGCCTCACTTGACAAAATGGGTGCAGGACTTCCGTTTTTGGCTCCATCGCCGCTTCCCTAGGATTGGCAGAACTGCGCCACTTTGCTTTTGGCTCACACGTGTTGCTCTGGTATGGGCGCAGCTAACGAGAATGAGAGCAACGTCCACGTGGTGCCCCTGTGGTCGCTGGCCAACTTCAAGCGGCTGACCACGATTGCTAAGCACTACCAGGGGCGGTACAACACCTTCGTCAGCTTCTCGCCGACCGGTGAGCGTTCCTTCAAAGGCCCGGGTTGATCCATTCATACTGAAAGAAAGGTCGTATACCGGCAACAATGGTTTCTGAGGATGAAGCGTTTCGTTGTTAGAGGTTTGACGGTTCAGATTGTGTACCGAAATGTGGGTCAATGGTCGGCAAAAGCGGCGTTCTGCGTTTCTATGGTGCGTCCTGTTGTCTTGTCTGCACCATAAAACGGACGTACTCACATCCGCCGCCTGGATTGAGCAGCTTCACAGACGTTAATCTACGCGCCCAAGCTTGCACATCACTCCATTCCAGGGGAAGCTACTTCTCCCATCAGGATATGAGTGCACTGGATGTCTTTTGACGGTGTTTTCAGGCGGCAGCGGACATCATGAGTCAATCAAAGAGACGTCGTGGTCTTATAGACATCAGTTGTCATGAATGTCCGTCCAGATTTATTCCGTGAGGTTTGACAAAGCGCTCCCCCCGCGCAGGCTGGAGTTTCGGACGCGGCAAGAAGCGGACGACGGGCACGCGCCGGCAGCAGGGCACCATCGTCCGCTACGAGGTGCCGTACAGCGAGCACAGCAGCTTCAGCGAGCTGCGCGCTTTTGTGCGCGTGGTCAGGCCGGGCTACATTTTACCGCATGTGAATAACGACGGGGGCCCAAAAGCCGAGGCGATGCTTCGGGAGCTGCTGAAAGAACGCGAGCCAGATGCCCAATAAGCGGGCGGCAAGACGCCCATTAATTGCGTTCGAGGAGAGACAGTGGGTGTGTACTGAAGCGGGGAATGGTTTCCAGCTTGCTTAAAGGTGCAGGAGGAGCAGGGCCCGAACTGATTTGAAGACTGTGTACAGTACAACGAGCTCACGGCCGGTCAGCAGGAGAAAACGGTCACTGTGGAACGTACATCGTTGTATACCGTACAATAACACGGACCTGTGTCATGCATCATATCGCGTCAGCAGCCGCCATATGGGACGTCCATTCCGACATCTGGGGGTGCATACGGACGGTACAGCAGCGCACTTACGTACCGTCGATCTATTCGGCTAAGATTTAAACGCATCATTGTAACTTCGAAACTGGCATATGCTGCATGGGTATTACACTTGCGGCATGTCAGTTAACTGTCTATGGTCGAGCGTGGCCACTGGCGGCCTCTAATTCAGCCATTGAAGCTCCGATGCATGCATGCAACTGGTGGACTGCTTTCCATCTAATTGTTGCTCTGACTGTCCTTTTGGGGTCGGCATAAATGCGATTGCCAACACTCTTTGGTCACGCAATCCCAGGCTGTACAAGTAATAAAGTTGAATGTGCGAATGTTTACTCGACTCAGCCAATTTGCGCTACTCCTCAGCTCACAGTGGGCCGAACCAAGAATCTAACTAAGTACTTACGAGTTCCTTGAACTTCCTCCGTAAAAGCCGCACAAACAGGGAGAAATCGTTCGTTTCGTTTACCATTGTTTGCAGCTCTTCGATACCAGAAACTTGCGGACTGCAATCTAGTACTGCACAAATGCAAACACGCATCGTTAGGATCCGTTCCGAAGTAGCAATTCCTGTCCGGGCCAGGTCAAAGTATTCATCAGCAAATGGTAATTCAACGACCGACAAGCTTGATTGTTGAGAAAATGAAGTACCATCGAAGCTCGGACCGTACGAAGTTGATCGTGCAGGTTGAAACCTTCGAAGCGAAGCTTTGCCTGGACGCGCGTCGTACAAAAACCTCCGAGATGAAAACCGCTCCAATCCCGTGATCCGTCAACTCTGCATACCCTCGTAAGTCTGGATAATTACGAGTGAAAACAAGCTGTAGCAGACATCAGCTTTGATTTTGACGGTGACATCAGGACGGCCTTAACGTGACTTGCTTACATTGCAAATCTGCGGACTCCTCAACAGGAAGACTCTAAGTCGATGAAGCTTGTAAACCAAAAAAGCAAACAACATTACAATCCGCACCTGAAGACCTCATCTTTTGGAGACGGTAAAGTATCCAGGCTTCTAGAATAAGAAGCGACGAAGAATTCTGCCTCACCCGTGTATGTTGAGGTGACGTGCAGCTGACACGAGAACTCCCGCTTCGTATCCCTTGGGTCAATCTGTGTGAAGACAAGCCTGAGAAGATCCCCTGCAGACGAAGAAAGAAGAAGGTGAAGGCGATTGATGGCGAGAAAAGGTCACCAAATCAGTACTGTTTGATCAGGGTGTTTTGAGCGCTGGACAACTAGCGAAGTTATATCTGCTGCGCCTGACTGGATCATACAGCAATCCAACCTGCGGAGTGCCAGCAGACTTCCGTCATTGACGATGATAAACCAAAAGCAAGAACGCAGTTACTCTACGAGGATCGAGCAATTACCAGTATGTTCGAGGTTTCGGGCCGTGTTGAGACCACAGGACTTTCGGTCGAGAGATTGTCGAGAGTGTGAGAGGAGCCCAAGAAAAGTTGCAAACGGAGAGAAATGCTTTGCTCCATTGGTTTGTTTGAATGCCGCGGTTCAAGGTCTTCACTTGGAGACGGTCGCTTCATCGACGTTCACGTTGCAGATGCTTTCCTCGGCGCATTGTTTCCTTCCAAACAAACGGTTCGCATGGCAGCAACTCCGCTCATAGGTGCCCACTGCCGCTTGGGATAAGAGCTGGCCGCTACTCAGCAAGGAGCGGCGTCGACGGGGACTCAACCTCGTCCAGATACTTTTTTTTCCGGGTTTGAAACAATTTCAGAGTTTTCGAGGCTTAGGTCATAACTCAAGACCCTGAAACTCACTCGGCGTGTGCTCGAAGCGCAGTCCCAAGTGCTTCCGATACAGTTCGTCCCCTAAGAGCAGCGCCTCGGCCTTTGACTCCTTCACGGCCCCTTCGTCCTCCAGCTCTGCACCGGAGAAGCCCGTTCTCGTTTTTTTGTTTCTGAAACAGTCTACAGAATCCTAATTCACATGTCTAGCAAGAATCCTCGGGAAAGCAGGAGAGATTGAGACTGAAGAGGCATTCTTGAATTGTGGTAGGGCTAGTGGCGACCAGGTTTGCCACTAGGTGACTCCCGCTCAACTCTTACGGTTTCCTTCATCCTTTGGCTCTGCGCCAAGGAGGAGGGACTTCGTTTGTTTCCGGGCACCTGAGTGGAAAGCTTGTATTTGATAATGTGGACACTTTCTGGAAATCATATGCTGCCTAACAACGTGATCCCAGTTTTGACTTCCGTCTTCGGTACTATTTCTTGGAATGATTCCATGCCTTGTCTGGTTCCTTGAAGTATTCAGAAGAGCTCACCGATGATCTCCTTGTCAATCTCCTGCTTTTCCTTGCTGACAGTGTCCTCCAAATCTGCCAGCCGGGGCGGAAGGCTCGCCTCCTCCTCCCGGATATCCGCCAACTCCTTCTGGTAGTGCTCCAGGCTCACGCGCTGCTCCTCCAACACTGCAGAACGAGAAATGAGGACTTGGACCCTGGAGACTTCAAATTTACAGGGATTGCACAGAAAGCCCCAGTGTGCTTGCAAGGCTAACAGTCCCACAGATCAGCGGCCCAAGATGCTTGCAAGGCTAACAGTCCCACAGATCAGCGGCCCAATGTTCCGAGCCACAAACTTATCGTGACTTGCACACCCAGGAGTGAAAACGATCAAACAATCAGCCAGCCTTGTCAGAGGGGCTAACATTAGTTGGGAATGTTGACAAGCTGTATGGGTAACCCAAGACTATGGAACGACATGGGGCAAACGTAAGTCTGCTGGAAACAGGGCGAAAGCAGAGCGTGTTGTCCAGAAAGTACAGCAGCTTTCTTAAGCAGCACAAACAGGCGTGCCGCAGGGCAGGACCCCTCTAGATATATTGAGGTCAGGCTTGCTGCTTTGCATTATAGTGGTCTACTCTTGCCTTTACGTTTGGACTGCCCCATTGAATCTGACTTTGAGCCCCTGGCGAGTGGCGAGGCCTGAAAGATCCACTGGCAACTGGCTTCGGTCACAAGCACTCACATTTCTGCAGCGCCGCCGCCGTCTCATTCAGCTTCTCCTCCTCTTCGCTCAAGTCCTGGACCCTTCCTGCAAAGGAGAAAGTGATATCAACCACTCCAACATGGCCGTGACCTTTCCACCTCTGCACAACCATGAAGAAGCGCAAAAACGCCTGTTGTTTTATCCCTTGCACATAGTGACCCAGTCGCTCAGTGAATTTTGGATGGCCAAATGCTCCTTCATCTGGATAGAAGACGCAACCGCGCTCTCAGATAAAATTCTCAGATTCATCTGAATTCAGACGTCACAGTAGCACACAGCTCCAGCAGTGACATATGCACGGTTCCTGGTGGTAAAGTTCTTCATTAGGCGGGATATGAAACTTAAAGGCGCAGCAAGGTCAAAATTTTGGGTTAGCAGAACTTTCTGAGCTGCAAAGTTCTCTCTGACGAATGCGGTTTGCTGCTGACGAACGATGACAAACATGGCGAGTTCAGAACATGCTCCAATCTGCGTCAGTATCTAATGACTGTAAATACTACCCAACAAACGCTGTGGACTGCTTAAGACCAATGGCAAACACGGCGAGTTCAGATTGGGGCTCCTAAACACCTGCCACTGCCACAGCATCAAGTTTTCAGAGTTGAATCTAGCGAGAGGTCAATCACAACTTCAGTAAGCTTTCCCCCTTTCATTCTACCGACATTTGAAGGATCTTTTACCGCACGAAGCACGAGATTGAAGTCACGCTGCCCTCCGCAGATCAGCAAACCTCAACTTGTAGAATTGGAAAAGGGATGATTTGGGAGGCTTACCATCTGCCTCCCGCATGAGGTCCACATGCTCCACCTTTGCGTCCTCCAACGCATTCAACCTCGCAATGGCCCACTTATCAAAATGCGCCTTCGCTGCTGCCAAGTCTTCTTGCAGGGCAGCGATGGAAAACGGCGCAGTCATCCCTGATGTATCCTTTGATTGGTTAACTACTCGTTGCAGGTCAAAAGGCTATGCAGGTACCACTTCTGACGGTCTCAACATAGAAAGAGCTCTGGAGATAATTCAACAACTGGTCAAAAACCATAGAAAGTCCCCCCAACAGGTGCGTATGAGTCACTATTGCGGAACCTCAACCCCACTTACTCCCTGGATATGTTTCCCAGCACTAACTTTTGAAAGGCGTGCCTCTTGTGATTTGCACCGGAATGACGACTAGCAAAAGGTGTCGCAAAAGAGGACTGAATGTGACTCTCCACAAGAGTCCGCGTCTAGCTACTTGATCCAATTAAGGCATCTGTATTCACGTAGGATACGCGACGTCCACATCTGGAAAATAAATTGCTAGTCTGCCCTTGAAGGATCCTTCTAACTGTTTCCAATCAAGCCCGCAGACAAGAACCTGCCCAGATTACCACTCTCGATGAAGTTGCAGGGATGCCTCAATGCTTCAATTTCGAAAGCAGGGATGCCTCAACGCTTCAATTTCGAAAGCAGGGATGCGCCTTCTGTGTTGGAACTTTTAGACTGCACGAGTTCGAATTTTGCTCAAGCCTCAAGGCATTGAGAATTGGTGGTAAAGCAGATAAAAACGCAACCGTCGATCGTTTCTGAATCGTGGCGAAGGACGGCTCAGATCGGTCCGCGGAAGTTGCCGCCAAGCCAGGGGAGTGTGAAATTCAAGTTCAAACGTTCAACTTGGTTCAACTTCGACATTCTAATTTCTAGGAAAGGTGGTAGAGTCTAGACATGCAATTGGGCGCTTTGCGTCGCCCTCACTACAGTAGGTAATTGGCAGCAAGCAGGAAGCAAGCAAGCCCTTGATTTCTTTGCTGGGCCTTGGGGTCCTTGTTGAGGAGGATCGAGAAATTTCCGTGCCTTGCAAGAATAAGTGGACTAGGGCCAAGAGAAACGTTCAACGATCGGCCCTGCGGATTGTAGGTCCTGGCGGGTGAATTGGTTCTTGACGATTCTCTGGCAGCCAAGGATTGGCGATCCCTCATTTGACATGTTGCTTTGAGAATCAGAGTAGGTAAAAGGTGGATGGAATCACCCAGCCGGCCTGTCAGAGGCAGCTGCAAAAACATGAGTGACAGGGCATTGAGGCAGCGCAAGGCCCCTGTCAATTACGTGGGGAGCCCCTTCCAGGTAAGATAATTGTCGACGTGTCCCGCATCATTGAATTTTCATCAATCTTCTCTTTCAAGGCTCATTCTTGAAGCTCTGATAAGTGATTGCTTCGCTTCAGCTTGGGTGTTCGCGATTGGATGTATAGCTTGAAGACACAGAGTGCCTTAAAAGTCGACACTTCCACCTTTTTCTCTGCCCCTGTTTTGACATATACAAGAAAACACGTCAGGTTAATGTACCATTGAAAGGCTTTTGCAGTGGCTTGCTTTGGCAGAGATTAGTCTGCATTGCCATCAGGTAATAGGAGAGATCCAGCTTTCTCTGCCTTCTCAAGCCGGACAGGAGCAATCTGGTCACCGGCACATGAACAGTGCAGAATGTCAAAATAGGTGATTGTCCAAGTCAGACTCAGAAGCAGGTGCATCAGCATGTGGATATCCATCTTCTCACGATTGCAAGCTATCAATGTGCAGACACCTGAGAAGGAGCGAGAGCAGAAGTGGCCGACTGGGCGTCACAAGCGCAAGCTGGTGAGCAGCGATCAGGCAGCGGGGGACAAAGAGAACAACCTCTTCAATGACCCCCCTTCGGTTGCTGTGGAAGAGCCTCGGCCCGAGGTGCAGCAAGACAAGAAGAGGGGAAAGGCCGCTAAGAAGCAGCTTGCCGATTCTGCCGGTGCACCAAATACCGCAGATCAGCAACCGCAAGCTGGCAGCCAAGAAGAGAAGGGCAAGGACCAAAAGGCAAAGAGGGGGAAGAAAGTGGCCAATGTGGCACCCCTTGTTGATGCCACCCCATCTGATGGAGCAGCCAGTGAAGGCCATGGTCCAGGGGAAAATGAGTTGCAAGAGCAGAACGGAGTCACCGAGAAGGCAGTTGGTAAGCGAGGGGCCGCTAAGGGTGCGGCCAAGAATGTCAAGGGGACTGCTCTGGACAAGAAGAAAGTCAGCCAGCAAGTCGCTGCGGCTACTGCGGCCGTTTTCAAGGCTCAGGGAAAGAAGGCTTCCTCTGGCAGCACTCGAGCAGCCAAGAAAGGGAGCTCCAAGGGCGGTAGAGGGGAGCCGGCGGCAGGCCCCGATGTCAGCCAAGGAGGGGAGACGTTGGCAGGCGCCAATGTCAGCCAAGAGGGGGTGATATCAGCGGGTGCAGCATCTGGCGAAGTGAGAAAGGGGGCAACAACAAGGGGAGCCCTTCAGGCGCAGAAACCAGTGGCCAACAGTAAGGCAGTTGCAAAGGAGAAGAAACCAGTGTCGGGGGGAAAAGGAGAGGGTTCAGGGGGAAGCCAGCCAGGAAAGGCTACCAGGGAAAGCAGAAAGAGGAAAGCGCAGGAGAGGGCCGTTGTGGAGATCGACGGGGGGGATGAGGCGGATGCACTGCCTCCCGTGAAGAAGGCGGCAGGGCCAAGTACTGCACTGGTGCCGTTCATTAATGCCTCAAAGGTTGCGGCTGAGAGGCAGCGACAATCGCAGGGGAAGGGCTTGGCAGTCTCTAAAGATGCAGGGGCTTTCCTCAAGGTAGCAGTTCCTTCGTTGATTGCCTCGGATTAGGATGTGCTTTTGGAACTATATTGGTTCTGATGCGCAGCCCCAGGGCTCTCGTTTCTGTGGTTCTTATCAGGATTCCGAACGACCTTGATGTGCGTGTGACTCCTCAGTCAACGAGCATCGTCAGTGACATTTGAAGGCCCTTTGGTTGATCGGCAAGTCCATTCAAGAAATCTGCTGGAAACCAGACTTTTCTCAACAAGAGTCCATACGGTTGCAAGTTGTCTGAAGTGAGGTGTGCTCCTTTGTCTGCTGCAGTTGCAGGAGGCATACAGCAAGCTTCAGACCAAATACCAGGCCCTCAAGGTAACGTCCAGTTGTGATCCACCTTGCTCGACACCTATGGTCATAGATTACCTTTGCTTCTGTAGCCCTAAAAGGGTTTGCAAACCTTTAACTCTGCTTCCTCTGCTTACTCAGTTGTTTTAGAAAGGTTCTAAATCATCTTCGCAAGTTGCTGTAAGGCCGATAGAGACTGTTGATATCACACCAAGGCGCCAGATACCAGTGGAAAGGAGCCTGATGCAAGGAGTTACTTGGCGTGGGGCTAGACACTCCTCTTTCTAACTCGGCTCCATGTCTTCACCTCCTGATGTCTGGTCTCTTTTATGATCACACAGCAATTGCGGCTGGACGAGACAGAGAGTCTCTTTGACGCACAGAAGAAGGTGGTGAAGGATCATAGTGAAGGTGCGTCAAACTCTGCTCGTTTGGACCTTCCTCAGGGAGTTGCTCGCAAGCATGTCTGCTATGGATTCATGCAAAGACCAGTTCTTGAACTGATATTCAATCTGTCAGCATTCTTTCTAGTGACAAATGGTCCCACCGACGTGCTTGTCCCCGACATTGACTGCTGAGTTGTGTTTTGGCAGTTGTGTTTTGGGGCAGCGCTTTGAATTTCAAAGAAGAACACCGGTCTTCAAGAAGAGGACCAATTCATTTGAGTTCCCGCCTGGCATTTACTTCAAGTTAAAGAAAATGCACTGATCTTCAAGCAGAGGACCAAGTCAGACTCGTACCCATCCAAGTGGTGAGCAGTGCAGTCTCATTTTCTCTAGCCTTCCATCCTTTGACTCGCCAACTTCAATGAATTTGCAGCCGCCAAAAAGCTCGTGAGCCACTGGAAAGAACAGGTGGCTCGCATACAGGAGGAAGAAGCGACCATTGTGGAGACAGCGAAGCGGTAAGGGCTTTTCCTGAAGGACTGCCGCGTATTGGTCTCGTTAACCAAGATACCTTGAGGTGTGCAGGACTCCCCTTGAAAAGGCATTGCATTAATCATAGGGGTGTGGAAGGAGCCGAGCTTCTTCCGATGAACACCCAATCTACCGTAGTTCGCATGCTCCGCTAAATAAGTCGCCCCTATGCTTGGATAAGACACCTTTCCCACTTTCATCTCTTATCTCAAGCTTAATCGCAGGTCATCAATTTCTGCAGGGCCAGGGATTTGAGGCAGGAAAACGACCTCCTGAAGATCAAGTTCATTGAGCAAGAGGAGAAACGTGAGTTGCGTCTCTGGTCTGCTCCTCTTGTGTTTCGTCTGGCGGCTGAGAGATTCAAATTGAAGGCTGAGCTGGGCTCAAACGAGTGCTCGATCTTGAAATGCATTTTAAAGATCTGCCAAGAGGGTTAGGAATGGTTGAGCTTCACAAGCCACAGACATGAGACCGTCACCAAATCTTTTACCAACCACTTTGCGCAGCCAACGAGCTGTTATTTGCGAAGACGATGTCTCTTCGTATCCTCACTTTTTAAAATCCTCGGTTGCAAATCACCGCCCTATTCTTAGGTCTCCTCATTGAACACTGGTCCCCAGAGAAGGTCTCCCATCAACCGAAGCTTCCACGAACCATCTAACTTAGAGCATCTAACTAGTTGTTCTTTGCGGACTTGAATTTATCCAGATCTTCACACTTCCAGATCCTCAGTCGGATTCTTTCGCCCTTTTCTCGGATCTGCTGATCGAAGCCAGGTCCCCATGGAAGGTCCGGTTTCAACCGAAGCTTCCAATAACCACGTAGAGACTCTAAAGACCTGTTCGTCGCAAGTTCGGTATTCCTCAAGAGTCCTCACCGCTCCTCGTTGAATCTTCCGCCCTTGTCCCAGATCTGCTGATTCAAGCCACGTTCCCATGGAAGGTCCAGCTCCGATTGAAGTTTACATTAATCACTTAGAAACTCACGAGCTCGGCAAAAAAAAAAAACTGTATTCCGAGATGCATTGTCTCGTCCTCTCTCAGATCTGCTGATCGAGGCCCGTCTCCAAGAGCTCCAATCAGAGCTGCAGGATGCCACGCAGCACGCTCTTGAGTACGCGCGACCAGGCCCAGAGAACCGTGCAGCGGAGATTCAAACGCCGGCAGAGGACGTCGGAGCGAAGGGGGCTGCTGCGACAGACGTCCAGGTACGTTGCACCAGAAAAGATACGGACTGCCAATGATTCTGAGACTCGCAATGGTTGACTTTTTTTGTGATCGTAAAGTTCTGTTTTGCTCGACTTGGTCTGGCACTAAGCTGGACATCGAATCTGAGATGTTAGATTCACAAGCGAAACTCAAGAGCAAGGATTACGAAGGGCTCAAAGGGAGGGGAGTAATAAGAACTGTGAGGGTTTACTCTATGGCGCCCTTTCAGAACGGCTCGGTCCTACATCTGTGCTGCGCTTAGTGACGGGTTGCCAGCTTGACTCGATGCCGAAAGCAACCACGCTTTCTCCGAGCCATGCTCAACGCGTTGACTCCGGACCCTGCCGTGCTACAGTCTGATCGGCATCGATCCCTCAAACTACTGGCGCTACTCGTTCGTTTACGTATTAGTATCCTGTCGGCAAGTCCGGTCAACAATCAACAGACAGTCGCTCAGGGCGCCTTTGATTCCCTTGTGTTCTCGTCGTCTGGGAAGGCCCCTAACCGTAGCACATGCCGTTTCTGAATCGACACTTGATTCTCATGTCCTCTTTCTTCCACACACTGTGTCACCTTGTCGCGTCGTGTTTGGCACGTGTGTTTGATGCACTGCTTTCAGAAGCAACTTGATTAACAAGTCTTTCATTATTGCTGATAGTCGAAACACTGGCAATCTCAGCAACCAACTGCACCAGACAGACCCGAAAACCTCAACGACTCCTTTTGCAGGTCCAAGCCCCGACAGAGCCAGCCAAGCCGGACCATCTTCCTGTGGCATCATCAGCGGCCACTCGCGAGCTGCCACGTGGCTTCGTTGAGGTCCGCAAAGAGGACCTCTTCCCGGGCCAGAGCGCCGCCGCTCAAAGCTCTGAGCTCCCGGCACTTGATCGGGAGCAGTTGAAGCGCGAGGGTTTCGAGGAGGGTTTGAAGCAGGGGTTAAAGAAGGGTTTGGAGGAGGGACAGAAGCAGGGTTTCGCGGAGGGGTTGAAGGAGGGGTTGAAGAAAGGTCTGGAGGAGGGTCAGAAGCAGGGTTTCGAGGATGGGGTGAAGGAGGGTGTGAGGACGGGCTTGGAGGAGGGCTTGAAGCAGGGTGACGGGAAGGGTTTCGAGCAAGGTTTGGAGGAGGGACAGAAGCAAGCCATGCAGAAGAGCTTCGAGGAGGGGTGGGCGAAGGGCATGAAGGAGGGTTTGGAGAAAGGTTTGGAGGAGGGTTTGGAGAAGGGTTTGACGGAGGGTTTGGCGAAGGGCCCGAAGCAGGGTTTGGACAAGGAGTCGGAGAACGGTCTGGAGGACGATTTGGAGGTTGCAAACAAGGATCTGAAGGAGGGCGAGGGTGAGGGTTTCGAAGACGGTTTCGAGAAGGGTTTGGAGGAAGGCTTAGAGAAGGGGTTGGAGGAAGGGTTAGAGGAGGGTTTGGAGGACGCTGACCCGACGGCGGGCCTTGGTGGGGATCCCGACGCGGACAGCGCCTGGCGCGAGCTGCTGCAGATCCTAACTGGGTGCTGCGCAGACGAGTGCGGGGAGAACAGGATCCGCTTCACGCACGAGCGATCAGGTGACTCCTCGGTCTCCTGTATTGCTTCAAAGGCCTTGTAATGAATCGGTCTCGGGAAGACTTTCGTCCTCAGAAAAAGGCGAGTCAGGAGTGCGGGGTTCGATTCACCTTCGCAAGAAGAGAATAAAATCGTACGGCCTCATCGACATCAATCTTTGACCATCCATGATGCTTTCGCTTCTCTTTCAAGTTACAGGCGACCCGTGAAAAAGCGCTCACGGGCATGAGTAGGTCGATCACAATCGCCTTCATGGACTTGCCTCGTCATAATTTCAAACTCCGAGACGCAACAGAAAATTCCCCAACATCGCCTCTGAACCCCTTTTAAATCCCCGTCGGTTCCGGTCGCTTTTTGTCCTTCTCTTCGCCACACAGACGTCGTCCTAGCTTGCGTCGCTGGATTTTTCGCTCCCGTTGACTTGACGTGCACCTGAATATAGGAATGGCAGGCCAGCTTTTCGTTCCCAGTCGCGTGTTCTCAAAGTCGCTCGCTTCAGACTTCCTGCTGCGTTGAACTCATTCAGCATGTCAAATTGTTTCTCATGCTTCACAGGTCTCGTGTTCTACCTCACCGGCACGCCCCAGGACGATGACGTCACGGGTGACGTCGGCAGGGAGGTGGACACGCTGTCGCGCGCCTCGAGCTTCTTCGACGCGGACGCGGCGGGCAATGTGAGCTTCCTGTACGAACCGGAGGAGTTCGGCCTGCTGGACGATGACGTCAGGGAGGACAGCGAGCTGAGGCGTTCGAAGACGCTGACAATGCGGCAGGTGCCGCGGCTCGTGCACGACATTCTGGGGCAGACGGTACCCCTCTCATAGGCGTGTTCGAAAAGTGGAACTTAGAAAGTATACCCTCGTATTGATGATTAGGATATTGTCGTGTTTGTTCTACGTCTGTTTGGTACAAAACGTATGCTCCCAGGGAGCCGCTGGCGAGCCCTGATCGGAATCCGCATTAGGACGTGAATGTTTCAGATTAAGTTAGCATCGGTCATCAAGTATTGGGCCACGAGGGAGACATATGGAGTCGGCGCCGTTGTCAGCTGTTTGGAGCATACTCTTGGGATGTGTTGGCCCCCCAGATATCTTGGTTTCTATTTTCAAGCAATCCTGCCAATGACAAGCAAGGGACAACTAAGTATGCAGCGACAAGCCATGCAGGTCTGATGATTTTGTCCTAGAGGGCTGCGATTCCACTTTCTTCCTTTCCCCGTCCAGATGTCTTTGAAAACGTGCAAACGTGTACATACTGGTCGCTTCATGGATTGCAACCGATGGGCGGTGGCATCCAGGCGTCTTCAAACTCATTGATGGTTCGACAACAGGCACCTGCCAGTGACTTCTTCGATTCATGTGCCTGAGTCCGGGCGCGACTGATACATGGCCAAATATTGAGTGAACCTAAGGCATGTTCCGGTCCATATGCAAATAGACTCACCAAAAGCGACCGCGTCTAGTGAATCCGTCACTAGCTGGCATGCATGCCATGACGCAAAGCCTTGAAGTGGGCAGGCCGAATCCGATCCATTCGTTTAGCTTGGCATTATCGATCATGCATACGAACAGTGCCGCCACATATGATGCCAGCTCGCAAGTTGAAAATTGCATTGAACCCGTTCATCAAATCTATTATTTCAGTCGATGTAGGACGCATACATAGCAGCTTGCTGTGTCGGCGGCGGCGTGTTGCTTACGCACCGTGCAGCTGTCAAAGCTACAATTAGTAGGCTAGCCGTCGATCTTTCTTCGACTGCATGCATCGATCATCACACGCTGCACTACGGCCGCGGCATGCCAGCGACCGTGCCAGACGGTGAGGTAGTAGCGGCCGCACGCACCAAAGTAGCTTACCTACAACTTAACCCTGTCACCTTTTCCATATCATCAGTGCGCGCATTCAACGTCGGTGGGGAGACTAACGACCTAGGGCGTTAATCTCCCCAACTCAATGAAAACGAAGTAATGGTTTCTTGTCTTAAAGCACACGTTCCAACTTTGCTCGACCGTTACGTCGGCCGGGCGTCCCAACTTGACTCCTCTAAATTACCAGGAAGTACAATTCGACGCACAGAAGACCAGCTAGCTTGTCTTTCGACAGCTTTAAGGCACGACTAGTAGGAATACGCAAGTTCAGCGCCGCCGTCTAGCTTGAACCTTTCGTTCCGCGGCGTCCTTGCTCCTTGTCAAAGGGCAAACTATACAGCAACAGAGACCGATTCAAGCACTTTGAAGTAAGACCTAACGTACATCGAGCAAATTCTATGTTAAAATGCCGACCCCACTCAACACTTCTGTACTTAAAACATGTGCGTTATAGCAGTTCATACTAGTGATATTAGACTACTCATTACATCTGACCCTAGACCCCTCTCAAACGCTCCTACTTCATTCGACCGTAAGAGTACTGCCTCGAGACACCCAGCTCCACGGATTTATCGGCCTCTTCCACCTGTAGATCTTTCTGCGAAACTCCTGATTCGCCAGCCTCAAGTTGCGCCAGTGACTCAAGCCCTTCGAAACGTTTCTTGACCAGAGTCCAAAAGTGCGTCACCCCTTCATCCGACTCAAACGCCTCCTTCAGAAGCAGGCCCACGTTGACCAAAATCCCGGCGAGAGAAATGGTGATAGACGACATAAACGTGACGTCGTCCACGTAAATCCTGGTCGCGCGGGAGCTGCCCAGAATGTAAAGCGCCGACTGGAAGACGGACTGGGGCAGCGTCTCGACGGCGATCTGCAATAAGCCGCGCGCCTCCTGGTAATAGCGTATGCTCAGAGGCGCGCCCCGCACAGTGAGATGGCCCCCCAGGCGTCCGACCAGCGCCAGCAGATCGAACGCCACCGTTGCGATCACGCCAAACGGCCATAAGAGGACCGCATAAGCGAAGCGGCCGATGCCCAACGAATCGGCTCTGTCACGTGCCTGGACACTTGCCGGCTCGGGGGGCCATTTGAAGGCGAAACCGAGCCCCCCGCTACAGCGAGGACCGCGAGTCCAAGCGATCGAGATCAACAGCCCGGAAATTAAAAAGGGCCCGACAATACAAGGAAGAAGGACCCACATAGGCCAAGCACCCCAGACGTCGATCAACACCAGGATATTGAGACCGATGTGAACGGGCATAAAGAACGAAGTGGGAATGGCCGCCAGATCCTTGGAATACGTTGCCATCGAAGCCCGGCAACCGGCCCTCTCTTTTGGGGGATTCGGGGTTTGGTTATCTGCCCCGCATGACCTCCATAGGGTTAAGCCGATGACCAATATGAGGAAGAGCATGCCAAACGTCGCCCACGTAACGGCCACCACAAGCTTCGCGTTGGCGTTACGGCACAGGTTGCGCTGCCGCACGTTCGTATACCCCACGCCCACGTATGCGGCGCTCTCCGGGCCGAAGTCGAGCTTGTCCAAGAAGTCGGTGTCGTTAAGGTAAACCGGCGCGCCGTTAACCAGGAAATAGTCGCGACCCTCGATCTCGAAAACGTTCAAAACCGACTGGAGGGCCGGCAATGCAGTGGAGCGCCTCTCCCGGTTCGAGGGGGTGCTTCTGCCCACTGGGATGTACTCGGGGGACTCCCCGGATACGAAGACGGCAATCTTCCCGAGGCAAACCTCCTTCCGAGTCGCCCGGGTTAGCTTTGACCCGGTTCCTGTGAGGTCGAGAACGCAGCCGTTGTCCGAAGAGCACGCGGGCCAGAAGCGGATCTGGGAAAGGGCCCCTCCCTCCAGGCGCAAGTACTGGCATCCGGGGGGAACCTTAGAGAGGTCCGGTTTTTCTGGCTGGCTCGGGTTGTAGCTGAGCCGGGCGTAAGCCAGGTCGGTTAGCGCCCCCAGTTCGCTCGGCAAGAAGCCCTCCAGGCTGTTGTTGCTCAAGGTCAGGTACTTGAGCTTTTTCAAGCCGGAGAGCTGTGGAGGGACCGGCCCGGTTAGGTGGTTGTTCCCCAAACTAAGCCGGGTTAAGGAAGTCAGGTTTCCGAGTTTGGGGGGGATGCCACCTGTTAGTCCGTTGTCTTGCAGGAGCAGAACGGAGAGGTTGGGCGAATCGGCGAGGGCGGGGGGGATCGGACCGGAGAGGCGGTTCTCGGCGAGGGCTAGGAGGGTTAGGTTAACCAGGCCGCCGAAACCCGCGGGTATGGGCCCCTCCAGGTGGTTGCCTCGGAGCGACAGAGTGGTGAGCTTTCCTTGGGAGGCCAGCGTTGGGGGGATCCCCCCCGAAAAGGCGTTATCGTCCAGCGCCAAGAAACGGAGTTCGGGGAGGTTTCCCAGGCACTCTGGGATCGAGCCGTTGAGGAAGTTGCTCGCGAAGGCCACGGATTGCAGCGCAACCGCCCCGCAAAGCGCGTTCGGCAAGGGGCCGGACAGCTGGTTCCCCTGAAGAAACAGGTACTGTAGTTGTGCGAGGCCTCCAAGCCCGGGGGGAATCTGGCCCGACAACCGGTTGCCCAAAAGCAACAGCCCTTGGAGGCTGGTCATGTTCGCAAGCGCCCCGGGAAGAGGCCCCGAGAGCTGGTTGTAACTCGAAAACCAGAAGACGAGGTTTCGCAAGTTGCCCAGTTCCACCGGAAGTGGGCCCGAGAGCTGGTTCTCCGATAGTTCCAACCACCCGAGGTTGGATAATCCTCCGAGGGCGCGGGGAATGGGGCCCGTCAGATTGTTGGCGTTCAGTACGAGGAACACCAGAGCCGAAAGGTCGCCCAACTCCTCCGGAATCGGGCCCGTCAGAAAATTGGCCGCGAGCGCGAGGGAGGTGAGGGAGGCGAGGCTGCCGAGCTCTCGGGGGATCCCTCCGGTCAGAAGGTTATAGCTCAGGTTGATGGCCCTGAGCTTCGGTAAGCGGCCCAGCCCGGGAGGGATCCCCCCGGTCAGCTCGTTCTCCTGGAGATACAGAAGGACTAGGTCGGGGAAGTTCTCAGGGGGGGGGATGGACCCGGTCAGGCGATTCGTCCCCAGCTCCAAATCCAAGAGGCGGCTGGGGGATCCCCCAAGGTCCGCCGGTATGGGGCCGCTCAAGTTGTTGTGGGGCGCGACCAGAAAACGCAGGCTGGTCAGCCGGTTGAAGCCCGCCGGGATCTGCCCGGAGAGGCTGTTGTTCCCGAGAAACAGCCACTGGAGGGTTTTCAGGTTGGACAGCTCCGGGGGGATCCCCCCGGCCAGGTTGTTGCTGCTCAGGTCCAGCCGTTCGAGCGCCGGAAGGCCGCCCAGAGCGCCCGGGATGGTTCCGCTGAGCGCGTTGGATGAGAGGTTCAGCCGTTGGAGCTGCAACGCGCCGCCGATCGACACCGGGATGGGACCGTCCAGAAGGTTGCCCGCAAGCGACAGGATGCCAACACGTGGCAGGGCGGCCACGCCAGGAGGGATCCCGCCGGTCAGGAGGTTGCTGCTGAGATCGAGGCCGACGAGGCTGGTCAGGTTTCCGAGCCCGGGGGGAATAGGCCCCGCGAACCGGTTGTTCGCGAGCGACAGGCCTTGGAGCAGCGAGAGCCGGCCTAGTTCCGCCGGAATCGGGCCGGAAAGCTTGTTCCGCTGCAGGAAGAGGCCGGTCAGCCTCGACAGTCGGCCGATCTCCGCGGGCAAAGCGCCGGTTAACAAATTGCCGGCGAGGTAAAGGAACCGGAGGTTAGGGAGACTTGCGAGTTGGCGGATGACCGGGCCCGAAAGTAGGTTCTCCCGCAGGTTAAGGTAAACCAATTTGCGCAGGTTATCCAAACCGAGCGGTATGCCCCCCGTCAAAAGGTTGTCCGACATGTCGAGCCCTTCGAGGCTCGACCACGCCCCAATGCTGGCGGGGATCTCCCCCTCAATCAGGTTAAGGGAGAGGTTACAGTAAACCAGGTTTCGGAGGCTGCCCAGGTCAGGGAGGGGCAAGGTGCCGGCCCTGCTTTCGTTTGTGACCGGGTTTTCAAACCCGGTTAGCAGATTGTCGGCCAGAATGAGGGATGTGAGGTTGACCAGATTCCCAAGCGCCCGGGGAATCTCTCCGGTCAGGTTATTGCCCGACAAGTCGATCCCGGTGAGGAAAGTAAAGTCGCCCAGCTCCGGGGGGATCCCCCCGGTTAACCCCATGTCAAAGAGGTTAAGCTCTGGCGCGCCCAGGGTTAGGTTAGGCGTCAGCCGGTTGATCTCGTCGATGGTAAGCGCCTGAGCCCGGCCCGCCAGATGAAGGAGAGCCACCGCGAAACTGAGAGCGTAGAGCAGCTGGGTCGAAGCCATGCTGATCGGTGCTCAGTCGCCTGGAAAAAGAAGACGCAAGGTGACCGTCAGCCACTCGAGCGATGAGTTGGATTTTGAGATGCGGACGTTGCAAAGGTAAGAAGTGCAGTAGATATCGTTCCCTTCTCTCCGGTCCCTTTGTGAAGGATATAAAGATTGAAGATCTGGTCGGTAAAAGCTCTCGAAAGGGATTCCGAGGAAAGGGAGTACAAGACCTTTGGTGGGAGCCGCTTCGAAAGTTAGCTACTCTGCCCCAGGAAAAACTTCAGGATCGGACTATCGCCATTGGTTGTGCAACCAGGGCGAGCTGTCGAGACGACAACTCGCATCGTCAAAGATAGACCTCTGCAGACTTCGAGAGACCCAATTCCGATTACGACCTAAATCCTGAAAATGCACTCAAGTAATGTACAATAAAGCAGTCAAGAAGATGTACAAAGTCGAATATTCCGACTTGTTAGCAGATGCGAGCACCTAGGAAGCTTCCAATCGTCTGACGAAGGCCGAGGAATGACGAAAGGAAGGAATCCTAAATTAAAGTCAGTGTCAACTTCGTTTGACGTGATGGTTTCAAAGGTCGTCTTTGAGTGGCAGGACGATGGTTGTCGAAGCGTGCAGCGTCGCACCATTGATAAGCAGATACAAAGAGAATCAGAAGAAAGCAGAGCCAATTGCTCAAAAACGGAAGAGAGGGGCTCTGAAAAGAGAACGCAGCGCCAAAAAGTCCAGGGCCTCTCTTAGATCTGATCAGAGCCGGGTTTTCGAACTGCCAACTCGTTTTGCATGGCCTTACATCTTTCTTTCATCAAGTGACAAGAATGCAAGGAAGTTTCTTGACGTAACCCTGAACAATTTGTGTCTCTGACAGCAAACAACCAACAAATCCGCCCACATACGTTGGAGTCTCGAAGTTCAGTATGCGGCGGCGCTCAACCTAAGAACAATGTGCCAAGACTTTTCTTTCTAGGACTAGCGTCAAGAAGATAACCGGATAACACGGTCCAAACCGGGAGCAATTCTGAGCAAAGCCTTTTAGACCCGAGTTTCCTTCCAAACCAAGCCTCTAGAAATAGTCGAGGACACAATCTTAACATTATCCTGTCTTGCCTTAGCGTCCCACTTTTCAATTTGACTGCAGAAAATGCAACTCTGAATTGCAAAAAGCTCAAGAGGCAAAACCAATAGATGACAGGATGGAATTGGAGATGTCCTTTGACCAACCATCATGGTAGAGCATGTGGCAAAAGCGTATGACAAGAACAGCCAAGTAGCATGACTAACAGAACATACCTGTTTTTGATATATATCAGCACTAAGCTCGCTCCATAGAAATGTGTTCCCTGCCTTTGCAATATTGCCCGTCAAACAGAGGCTGGTATAGACACTGGGCTTCACCAATTTAAGATTGTTGCAGAGTACCTGCAAAGACAAAGTCATAAAAATGGTCTTAGCCCCATGTATTGATTATCTGGTTGCTGGTGTCTGTTTGAGTCAAAAGACGCCTGTCTTGAAAGCTCAGGCTCAGGTGGACCTTTTCACACCAACCTTTGAAAGGACTGACGTTCGCCTCCCAAAGCAGAAGGCAGTTAGAGCCTCTGGATACGCTGCACGCTAATGAGCAGAGCAGCACCAGGTTTGGATGTGCTCAATTCAGAAACATCAGTCCCAGTAAAGCATAACAACAACGCCCTTACAGTTTTGATGGCTTATCAGAACAACGGTTTGCCGCATGCAATGTACGCTTGTATGGTTATATGAGCTTGTTTTAAATGCATCAGTTGCATTACATCTCTCCGACTCAAAACAAACCTCAGGCCTTACATTCCAGCAGTTTGACATCAGCATCTTACAATCGTGACTGGAGCTAGAGTCTAATAGGACGGATTCACCAAAGCTGGCAAGCTAGCTATACGAACCAGCTGGGGATTACCTCCACTCGCTCACCTTGTGTAGCACACAGGGTATGCACGCCGCCTCCAGAAAACCATCGTCATGAAGGCTGTCGCTGCATTGGGTGCTGTTTCTTCCCTGAGTGTATGATCTCAGCCGCCCTAGCTAGATGAAAATCCTGAATATTTGCACATTGAAGCACAACCTAGAGATTGCAGTGAAGCAATCAGTTCTGCCTCTCAATCGACTCTACACTAGGACAATGCCTAGGCCAATGCAATGAGTGGCTGGGGTTGAATAGCTGCTGCTCCTCACCGCCGCCCCTGCTTAAAAACAGTCCCATCATTGACAGTCCCATCCTGACATGCGGCAAACCACCCTACTGCATGGTATTACCTATCATGACATCAGTACTACCTTCCTGCCATGTACCTTAAATAGTATGTCCGGCAAGCCGCTAGAGTACATATGTAGGTATGCAGCATTGAAGATTGAAGAGCCGAAGTACGGACAGGGGGAGTTCTCTGCAAATATGACAACATGGATCGTGACGGGGCGCCCGGGGGAGTTCTCAGAAGTCAGGCGGCGGCTGCCGGCCGCGACGTCGGCGCTGACGCGGCCGCGCCTCCAGCAGCGCCGCGGCGCGGATAGCGGCCGCGGCGTGTTACCAGGCTTTTATCCTTTCATAGTTTATGAATTTAGGCTGCGCGGCATGGCCACCGTGACGCATGATGCATGAAGCACGCCGTGTAAACGTCGCTTGAAGCCATGGCGGCTGAGCCGCCCCGACCCCGCCCAACACGTCAATATTATCGATCGCATCATGTAGTTACATATACCATCCAACAACGGTCCACACAACTATTGACTTCGTCAATGAGGCTCATGTGATCGACGTCTGATCAGCTCCATGGAACCCTTTTCACCAGGCTTGAGTGTGCTATGGTATAGACGTAGGACATGCGACTGGATGATGCTACGTCGTCTATCTCAGAAACGGGCGCGGGCTGAGTTTTCGGAAATAGTAAGATATTTTTGTTCCCTTTTGAAAATAAGCAGGTTATAGTGGAGAGAATTTTGCCCATCCACGTCAATCGAACTCGAGCGAACATACTCACGAACTTGGAAATTTTGGAAGCTGAGTATCAGATGAAAGTGAGCCATCGATGCACCACTTGGCCGGCGGCCGGGGCCAATTTTATGACTGATTTGGAGAGTTGAGATGATGTTCGAGAGTGCGGCCGCACCCGCGCCCGTTCGCCCGCATACCTTGCGGTCTTCCCACCATCCGCCAGAAACTCTCGACATCTTTTAGCTCGAATTGTGGCCGCCTCGGAAGCTCAGAGCATGTTTTCCCGGACCCAAGAGCCTACCGTTGTCCACGTGATTGTGCATTAGAAAGCGGGATTATCTGTTGATGATCATGATGATAGGGGTTGAAATACTATTGTCGGAGGCGTTTCTTGTGGGCACAAAGTTTGGCTTAGAGTGGTGAACGCACAAAATGCATTTGAGCAGAAACGCTCCGTGATATACGCAATTGGATCGTATGCTTTTCGCAGTGATCGAAGTGGTACCGCCTTCTTGCAGCCTCAGGAAAGGATCATGTGTGTCGGACTCGAGTCCAAACCTTGGACTTCGGATGCCATACCACATCCAACCAGATTTCCGGTGTTCACGCGCTGGATATCATTACACGACGGAACTCTCGAAACTGTTCCTGGCGCACAACAAAGAAAGTTCTCCCGGTGGGGGAGTAAGACCACCCCGCTGAACGACTACACCTACATCGCATACAGGTCCATTGGAATTGCATACAAGCATAAGCACCGTATCACGAATGGTCAAAAATATACATCATGTAACGGGTCTAGGAACTAAAAGGCTGCTGAATTTAATTAGTGGTCTTGACTGAGTTATGCCGCCGGGGACTTCGCAGACGTGTGCTTCATGGACTGCGTTTGCCCCTGCTTCTTTGCGTGCTGGCCGGCCCCGGTCATCGCGTGATAGTGCGCCGCGTACTCCATAATCTCGTTGGTCCGCCGGGGGTAGCTGAACATCATGTTCCGCTCCAGCTGCCAGCGGAATGCGGAATGGTCAGGGAGGTGAACGCGTCATCCTGTGCTTCTGGCTTTTGTGAAAGGAGGGTCGATGCAATTCAGTACCTGTTCCTGATCCCAATTGAGAAGCACTTGAAGCGAGGTTTCTTGATAGTTTACGCTGCAGACTCTTGCAGAAAGGGCATTAATCAAGCTGCGGTTTTCGAAGTTGGTCGCCAGCAGTCCACATAAGAGATTCGGACCAAACTATGTGAAGTATGATTGAACCTGAGCGGCTGAAATGTAGCTCGCGGCAAAGGTGACAGCCGATCATCGGATGCAAACGTTGGAGTGACCGAAGGGGAGCATAAGTCAAGGTCAGACTCTCCCTACTCGAGGGAGAGCATACAGAGAACCCTTTTGACCACAACTGCTCTGCGGCGGATCTCCCTTACGAATCTCGTGATTATTATTCTTGGGCGGATACTTCGAAGAAGGTCTTGGTTCAAAAAGTGGAAATGCAGCCCGCCATGCAAAGAGCTCTCTTGCGCAGTAGATTCTCGTTACCGCCAGGGCGTCAACGGCGAGATGTCATTCAGCGGAAGGTGAATCTAAAAGAGCTTTGCTGGATCTACCTGAGCTTGTTGTACCATCAATGCGTTAACAAGGGAAGAGAACGAGAATGATAGAAGAGACGGCAGTTCAGCCATCGGACGAGTCATTTCGTGCCGCAAACCGCAAATTACTAATAGTAGCAACTTCGCAGCAGGTTCCCGATCATACCGCCAACACAACGTCACCTCAAAGAAACACTGAACCAATCACAGAAACGTCTACCAGAGTCGATTCTGATGAGGACTTCGAGCTCAGACAGGCGGTTTCAGAGTGCTTTGGAAAGAAACACCCCATCAGATAAGACGTAGCGCTGAGAACAACAGCTCCCGCGCGCCTCACCAGCGGCTTAGTGACCCAGCCGTACTCCTGTGCGGACGTCTGCGGCAGCTCGTACTTTTCGGACGGCAGCAGGTGGTCGTCCTTGAGCGTACACATGGAGGCCAGCCGGCTCGTCGCGTTCTCAAAGTCCTCCGCCGTTACTGAGCGGAAGAACGGAACCGGAACGAATGTCAGTGTCTGACACCTACTTGAGAGCCGAGAGAATGTTGTTGGAGAAAGGGACCCAAGATACGCTACTACCTGCAGAAGCGACTGATTCGAAAAGCAGACGACCGTAGGGAGCTTACTTGATGAACGACCTGACGACCATGGAGCGTGCAGACCTCTACTCGTTATTGTCTTCGTGTGTTCAAATAAGCCGAATCCTCTCAGAAACAATCTGAGCTTCAAAATTGCTACGACATTGGCCGAAAGACAAGCATATTAGAAAGAAGGCAAACCCGCTTCTCTCCTCGAAGCCTGGAGATACGTGCGAGACTTGTAAAGGCTGATTGGAGACTGGTTGTGAATATCATCTAGACGAACGCGAGACGAAGACAAGTAGAAGACGGAAAGCTCCGGCTGTCAGACGAGATGCACCCTCTTTCCAGTTTAGCGGGTTTCCGAACTTCCCATCACGCTGGGATCTCTCTGTTTCATTGAAGGAGCAAAGAGAGAAGCGTTCAAGAGATCAGTTTTAACGAAGCAATGGTAGAGAGGAAAAGCTTTATGGTAGTAGAGACCGACCGCTTAGAAAGGATCATGTAATCTCAAATTGGAAAAAAGGGAGAATGGAAGAGCGAAAGTCAACGAAGAAGGTCTCAGGAACGGGGAACTCACTTTTGATGTGGGGATTCACCCGGTTGGGCTTGTCTGTTAGCGTCTCAACTGCAAGAACGAGGAAAAAAATTGGTCTTAAGATTTCCCAGCTAGGGCTTCCGTTTGTTAACCTCCAACTTGCTTCTGACACCGATACGAATGGGCTCATACTGAGCCCTTTCGTCACAGGAGGCAAGCTTTGGAGTAGGTCGTAGCTAAAAGCCCCGTTGACTCATTATCCGCTCTCTGAATAGTTGCTTCCCTTTCCAGGGCTCCGCGTTGACTCAATCACTCATTCCTTAATCATGCAGTGACGAGTACTTCTGTTGCTCCTTTTTCGAGGCACTGCTCCAGAATTGCATGCTCACAAAAGCTCGAGCTGCTTGAAGTCACACGACTTCAAGGATCTCACTTAGTCTAGGGTCTGGGAGATGATAGTCGGCCACAACGGTGGGCCTCTTCAGCTCCTTCTTGAGGTGCTCCCTCCATGTGGCGTTACGAGACACCTCATCGATCTGGGAGATAATCAAGCAGAAAGTTTTCAGCAGTTATCTCACTGTCTTCGGCTTGCCTGATTCAGCACTTCGATGAATGGGAGGCAAACGTGTTTCCCAGACTCTTGCACGCAACATTTTCAAAGAAAACCACTTTTTGCTCTTTTTGGCAACCGACATAGCTCAATCGGCGGGCAGCTTCGAGTGAGACACCGAAATCAATGCCCAGCGGACTATGCCCCTGCAAAAGCTCATAGGACATTGCGGTAACTTCAGCTTACCTTATCTGCATTGGTTGTTCTGCTCGCATTATCAGCATGGGGCGCCATGTCCCAATCACGCTCTCCGAAGATTCAGTCTCTGCTGGAAATTCAAACCTTCAGAGGTTGGTTGGCTGTAATTTGCTGTATATGATTGCAGCCACTCGTTTTGCCACTCACTTTGCTCCAATATAATCAATTTCCAACTTCGCAAGTGATCAACATGCCACTGCCCCCCTGTCGCATTCACAGCAGGGACCCTGCACAGTTCTACCACCTTCTTTTCAAAACGGTGCAATGCCAGCATCACAGTGTTTGATGCGGCGCCAATCCTTGCAGCACTGCATGCAACGTCCTCTATGGCCTCTCTATGGCTTGATCTGACTTGTCCAGATTGCATGCAATACCACTTCCATGAAAGGGCCTTCCCACTGCGATTGGCAATGCTGGGATACATCGTCACAGTAATCTTTAATACTTGTAGCATAGCGTGAGACTCCAAACTAAAGGAAGTGCGGACTTGGCACATCAAATTTAGGGTTTGGTAGTACTGGGGATGGGCGCGCCCCAGTCAACCGGCCGGCCGTCATCGAAGTCAACCTAGGACCGTTTTGTCCGCGGGCCAATTTTGTTTCGACGCCTTAAAATTTGGAGCGTAACATACCTGCGCGCTGCATTGCAGCGTTTTAACTTAGAGAAGTTTTAAAAACATACGTTATCGGACTCTGGCTGCGGCTAGGTAAGCTTCTGTTGCCGTGTTGGACATCCAATCAAACTTCAAAGCTATTGGCATTGCATGCGAAGTTGGAGCACTTTCAAGAGCCCTTTGCAACAGCGGTTCTTCTGCGCCTACATAAGTTCCCTGAGTTCCGAGGGTTTGAGGACGTTTGACATGTAGTACAGCTAGGTGAAGGAACGCTTGTATTGCAATCCTTGCATGAAAATCTTGGACTCGGACGCTCTAAGCAGCAAACCGTCTACGTCGTGTTCTGTTGAGTTGAAGAGCGTCAAGGGCTTCACCAGATCCTGACTGTAGATCGCAGCATTGGGCTAACGGGATCCCTCCAAATTCTAACGGTGAACCCAGGCAGGCTGAAAGGGCCACATGCAATCTTGATCTGTGAGGGGATAACCAGCGCATCAAGCAGGCAAGGTTGTAGCAGTGCCAAGCATCTCCAAGTGCTGTCCAAACAGCATTGCAGACTCAATCAGGGAGTAAGCCTGGCTTCATAGCAGAATGGGCTACCCGATTGAGATACACTTTGGCCGCAACCTAGATCAGCCAGAGGTTAAGGCGAGCCCTCTTCCCCCTGCAGAGAGGGCTGTTGCGCGGCCCCGCGCTTTTTCTCACTCGCGCTTCTTGGCGGAGTTGACTGCAGACAGCGCGCTCCCTTCTGTGCTCAACAATAGCAATTTCCAACATCTTGACATCTCCCCCCTGTTGATGTTCCTCTCGTCAAGGGAACTGGAGAGGGTGAGAGCGGGGAGGAGGGCGAATCTCTCCGCTGCCATTCAAGCAGCACCGTTGATAAGACCAGAGGGTGGAGAGGGAGAGCGAACCCTCAGCAGTTAGGCGGCGTTGTATATGGTCAGAGTTGCTGGGTGATAGTACTAGGGTTCGTAGATTCTGCGCAGGTTGCTGGTTGAAAGCCAGATCAGGATTGAGTCCAGGGCCTCCAAAAGGCGGGTTGCTCGCATTGCTGAGGTATTGTAACAGGTTCATACATGCAGATTGAGTTTCACATAGCTTGATTGAACTAAGGTCTAGACAGGACGCTGTCTCAAACAGGTACTAGTCAAACTATTTGCGTCCGTCGCGACTGCGTTTGGTTTGGTCTAGTAGGAGGACAGGGTTTAAGCAGTATTCAGCTGAGCTATAGGAGAAGCTGCAGAGAAGCAGCAAGGGCCAGACTAGCTATACTTCGAGCACAGTATCACTTATATTGGTTACAAACTTGAATAGATTGAGAACAGGATGGACGCTTCGGTGAGGGGAAGTCCAAAGGCTGAGGACTACAGGGTCCCAGACTGTGTTCTGCAGCTCATTCAGGAGCGGCCGCATGGAGGTAAGGAAATTTTCCCAATCTGCATATGGAAGCAATGATTGACATGCAGGGCATTGATGGAGGGCTCCGCAGGTTGTGGGCCATTTCAGATGTTCAGCTATTTCGAGCTTGAGCCCATTCACCTTCCAAAGCAGCACATTAAGAGTTGGAGGCGTCGTCATATCTGTGTGGCTACGCTCACTCAGCTCTGGTCCTGATCGGTTCGCTTGAGTAAGAAAGAGCATTGGTCTACTGTACCTTGCTTGAGGCTGGGTGTGAGACCGGTCGTCATCATTTGTTTGTGTGCTCTCCTCTTCTTATAGCTGCTAAATTGTTAATGAAAGCCATGCAATGTCGTCACAATCTGTTCATGTTATCAACATCAATTTCTTTCCTCTACAGGCAAAGTGCGCCCCAAGTACGTGCCTCCAGAACCCTCTGGGTGGTCGGTAGTGGACACTTCAAGACTAGTCTCTGTATTGCAAGCTGCTCCTTCAGAACGTGATGCTGCCACTGCTCTTCTGGACCTAGCCTCGGTGTCTGGACCAGAGCCGCTTGGAGAGAGGTCTGAGTGGGCGCGCGCTGCTGCCAGAAGGACGATTGTGGCCGGGGGTTTGGGGAACGGAGCGGTGTCTGGCTGGCAGGTCAAGCAGCATCGGCAGGTGAGAGAAAGCGGTGATTCGTGTTGGATTTGGAAGTCAAGATTGCCTCTGTCAGCCCCGTCCTACAACCAGGAAGGATGGCAGAGGTGAGAAAGTCGAGAGTGTTGTTACCTGACCTTGAGCCAAGCTCACTCGTTGCAAACACGAGTTGATACTACTTCCTTGAAGTCGTAATCTCTTGTCTCCGGGGTAAGCTTTGATTGGTTTCCTGGGGTTCTGTGTACTGGCCTCCATTGCTCACTTCGCTTTCCACTCAAATCGGTGCCCAGTGTCACATGCCTCGCACCCCCTGAGAAACATACCCATCCGGATTCACGCTGCGAGCAACAGATTATACTAGAAAACCGGACCCATTATGTAACTCTGCCCCGCCACTCACACCCGCTGACTAAGACGTTCTTCTTCCCGCAGCATACTGTCATACGTCAGAAAGTTAAGGCAGCTGCCACAGAGGCGCGGCTACAAAGCAGTGGCGATCCCTCCATTGCCCCCCCTCAGCCCCCAGCCAGCAAAGTCTTCGTAGCAAACTTTGTGGGTAAACAGCCGCCCCTCTCGTCCGGGTTTGGTCTGTCAATGGCAAGGTCGTTCGATTGGATTCCGACGGAGGAAGAAGGACCCCTGGAAGTCGAGGGGTCAGAACTCGTCACTAGCCCTGATGTTATGATTCCAATCAAACCTGCAAAGCCGAAACGGAGGGGAGCCCAGGGGCAAAAAGGCGGGGGAGACTGCCAACGGAGCCGAAGCCCGCAGCAGAAGCGAACGTCGTCTGAGGTCAGTCTCGCGGAGTTGTACTTACTGGTTACAGACAATTGAGGGTTCCAGCACAATGCCTGGAATTGTGGGACGTCGGAAACCGATGATATCGTGAGGGTGTTAGTCTCTCTTTGCCAGCAAATTGATTTATGAAGCTGCATGTGTGAATCTCCAAACATTTCAGAGTATCTGGGGTACGGAGCCAATCTGCCTTTCACTTTCGTGACATGAATCTCGAGGAGAATGATTGTGCTTGTGTAATTGTCGCCTGTGCTTTCAATCTGTTGGAATCATCAAATGAATCTTGAAGGTTCTGAGACAAATGTTTTTCCGATTCGTCTCGTGTCTCAAGCACATGACATAGAGTTGCACGATTGGTCACATTGGTGTCATATTGCTGACTAAACAGAGACCGCTGAGGACACTCCTGCCGCTCACAAGTGTTGCGATCGAGTTCCTAGTTTGAGATGCTGATGGGTAAACGTTGAACCTGAAAATTGAGTGGAATTTTGCAGGTTGTGGTGGTTCCATGGTCTATCACTGCTCAACAAGGCCGCATTGAAACAATCGCAAACGACAAGCCTCGGAAGTGCTGGGTCTAGGTAACGATTGAAACGTCGACCAAGCGTTCGCTCGATTGCGGATTCGAATGATCAATTGGAAATTTGTGATTGGAAATTTGTTGCGGCAAGTCAAGAAAGTCAAATATTCTCGCTCATGACCACTTCCCTTTGTAGATTAATTTTAAGAATTGGTCGCCGACAGCCAGATTCGATTCTTGGGTCCATTCATCGCGTACAAGCAACGCTTTCACTCCGTTTAGTACTAGCTCCGCAAGCCCTTGTACGATAGTTTTCAACGGCATGCAACATAGCACAGACGCCATCAAATTATGTACGACTCCGATGAGAAGTTCTCGTTGCTAGGTCAATCGTACTATAGATATGTGCATGTCGCTCCATCCTCGGCTGTTATATAAGTGTCCATCAGCTTACATTCACGTCTGCTAGCTAGCTCAACAATACCTGCGCCAATGATGATGCCTGAGGTGCCATGCTCCACGTCACTGGGCCTCAAAATCTTATATATCGACAGGCTTGCATCACTAATACACATGCATTGATTCATGATCACTTTGTATATATCGATCTAACTGCTATATGTTGCTGAAGCTTTCAAAGCAACGGCTGCTAGCATGTGCGGCCGCCTAGCTGACCGCCTGAATTGCGCAAGCCTGGCGCGGCGTGGTTCCATACACGTTCCATACAATGTCCGATTGACACTAAGTTCAAGGTCATGCAGAAATCTGTTAAGTATGCAGATAGATTTCATGCAACCAGGTTCCATTCGAACCGCGGCCATGCAGGGACTGGGTACGTCCGGGTTTTTATTAGTTCAACGGCAGGTTGGCTCAGTGTGCGCATGATTATATCCAGAGCCGGCCGGCGGGCCAGGCCGGCGCCCGGGCAGATGCTCATGCTTCATGGCATCATGAGCCTAGCTAGATTCCTCCTATAGATCATATTCATCGTGGCATTTGTTCAACATGAACTTAATGAAAACGAAGTCTGAAGATGTGAAGATCTCCAAAATACAAGGCTAGAAGACTAGAATGCCCCTAGAATGTACAGCGGTTTGCTTAAAACTTGTCCGCAGCAACCTTGTCGCTTTTCTCCCGCACGCGAAGTTGAGAACTGAGTGCCATACGGTAGTAATCAGGCTTAGTACTTGCAAGCGTAACGTGTAGTGTCTCCAATTCGAGTCGCCCGCGTCCACTGCATCGAAGGCTGTTGGGGGGCTGTTGCTAGTGCAGCAATGGTACCGGTGCATGCTACCGCGCCTGTACATTGATGCCGGCCGGCCACGGGCCAACTCGTGGGAAACAGACTTTGCGCGCGAGCCGCCAGGTGAGACCACATGAGCATTTTCAACCGTCCGATGAGAATCATCGACGGCTGTCCTTGGGTTTTGACACAACTGCTGCTGCAGCGCAATGATGATTCTCATGCATGTGGTCGCGGGTCAAAGTTGAATCAAGCATCGGCACCATGAGCTTGAAGAATCAGAAGATCAGATTACAAGATCAGGGCAGAAGTTGAAGATGCATTTTCCATTGCTATTCAGAACTCAGAAGTTGATCGTGCAACTTGCACTAGAGTCCTCAGTGCTTCCGCAATTGTGGACCTGCCGACCGCCTTCTTCTGGCTTACCATCATCTGGTCTGTGTGGGTGTAGACATCTGCTGACGGTGTTCTCTCCTGATCTGATCATCCGGCCGGGCTTCAGTCTTTGGTGGAAACTTTTCTTACCACAGGTGCTGGATCAGGCCTCAATTCATGCCCAAGAAGAACAACTGGCTTCTTTTCAAAAATCAGGGCAGGAAGAGGGGCGTGTAGGCTTGCATAATTGAGCGGGGCACACAAGCGATCCGAGTACAAATGCTTCAGATCTTGGCGTGAAATAGCAAGATCAAGTACATGGTTGCTTTGAGCAGAGCGCTAGGTGTCTTTTGATACAAAGCGCAACAGGAAAGCTTTTCAAGTGAAGGAGAAAGGTCAATGAGAGGGCTTTGAGCAGAGAGCTACTTGTCATCTGGTACAAGCACAGCCTTTTGGACACTGCGCCATGGCAACTACTGCAATGCTGTCCGCACGACAGTCAAGTGGCCTGCTGGCAGGAAGCTCGCTGAGGGAAAATGAAAGGCGTGGATCACAGCCAAGAATTCCCTCGAGGTTTGGGCCCAATTCAACGCACATCAGGGATCTCAAGGCACCGGCGCCAACCATCCCAGGGTAACTTTCCATCCTACCCGTAGTGCGTAGAGTTTTGTGCAGCAATTGTCTTTTTGGAAGAGTGGCGCCCTTATCCCATCATTCCTAAGACAATTTCAAACCAATAATTTAGGCTATGCCCAGTAAAGCGCATGATCAGATGCTGACATTCTAGTGCAAAGCTTAGCCATGCTGGGCGAGCAGGTGCCTACGTTCCTTTCACAGTCATTTCCTCCCTCTGATGTGATTCTTTTTTCATTGTCCTGGTTGCCAACAAAGTTAGTGAACCGTCCACTGATGCCTTGTTGCAGGTTTCAAAAAACTTCTTCCAGAAGGTGCCCAAAGCCGTACAGACACCTGAGGGTGTCTTGTCTACAGCAGTCTGAAAGCAGTGGATTGAGATCGCCTTCTTACACGGCTTCTGAGGTAAGCGCAAAAAGCCTTGGATGTTGGAATCGCTTCAGAGGCAGCGTTTCTGTCAGAGACACATCTGACTTGTCAGCAGAAATCGGAGGTTTGCAGGTGGGGTTGCCAAAGCATAGGCCAGCGGCTGCTCCGGTGCCTACACAACAATGGTATGATCGTTGGCATGAGATCTGTTCCAATGGGCGCTCCCAGAAAGCATTGCGTAAAAGTGGTATGTGTGTGCTATTGCAGGCCATTAAAATCTCTCGGTGCCGATTCAAGGAGGAACTGTCAAAGAAGGATGAAGACATAGACCTTGCAAAGGTGAGATAGAACACCCCCGTTGAAAATGTTTGGAAGACTGTTGTCGACCTTGTTTGGAGATGCTGGGTCATATCAGGGGAGAGTCCAGCAAAAGTCTGAAACCAGGAGTGGCCCATGGGAAGGGCACTCTAGATTGAGATGTCGCAACGTGCGGCGGTTCTTGGGATTTCGGACTTCAGCTTCCTCCCATGATGGGGACTGAGCACGCTTTGAGGACACTCGTTCTGCCTTCTCCAACGTTTGATTCGAATGCCTCGGTTGGGAACTAAGCAGTGACCATTGGCAAGTACATTCTTTCTCAGTTGTGATCTATCTGCTGCAGTCTGCTCTCCTGATAGCTGCTGAGGATCAGGCGCAAGAGGTCTGGAACTTCTGCAAAAAGCTCTCAGCCGCAATCAAGGAAGAGCGGGAACCTCCAGTGCTCCCCAGCACGTTCGCAAGTGCAAAACGGGATGTAAATATCGCCATCGGAAGTGACGGCCCACTGCAGCTTCGAGTTGGAGGCCACACGGTGAGTTAAATTTTAGGTTTGAAAACTATTGTTTTTGCGGTAGGAGCCTCTTTTACAAATCTCACAAGTGTTTCTTTCGGAAAGTCTCAGCGAGGCATGCAATCAATCGCAGCAATGACTCAGTGATCCGAGGCTCTTTTGCATTACTCTCGGACGTCAGAGACGAAGAAGTCGAGACGCTTTAGAAGCCATTTCATGAATCAGTTCTTGCTTTTACAGGTCGACTACTGGCTCGGCTTCTTGTCAGCAATCGGCAGGGAGGTCGAGACCAGATTCTTGCACCAATATGGGGAGGACGCTGCACGCTCCCCTCTTCGAGTGAGTCTGCTTTCGCCCTCGTGAACGCTCACATAGAAGTGGATTCTCTTACCTTCGAGGAAGTCCGATCAGTCTCTGCTCGAATAGCCTCTGAACAAGTATCAATGGTGTCAAGGGTGTCAGGAGTCCGTAAAAGGTGCGCATGTTTCTTTAGCGGACGTCTCCCCTGATCGTTCGAGACTTTTCCTGTAAGCAATTTGCTCGCTGTGCAGCTGATCACGCTCGTAAACGACATCCTGTTCCGGGAGTTCGGCTTCAACGGCAACATTCGCTCGGGGGACGTTCGCAACTCGTACCTGCATCTTACGCTCCAAACAGGCAGGGGAACAGGTACGTCCGTCTCACCACAACCCATCTGCATCACGAAAGCTGATTCTTTCAGCTCGACACAGGAAATATCAACCACAAGACCAGTTCCCCTCGGCACAGAACGTTTCAACCCAGTTCACTGAGTTCGCAAACCTCACGTTCCATTAAACCAAGCACAGACTTGATCCTTCTTTCTCAAGTAAGCACGCAGAACAAGATTGGAAAGCGATCGCGTGGGCCTTAGCGTCTTTGCCACTTTTTTTCTTGTAGCCACGATGATGAGCATCATTTACATCGAGGTCCTGAAGCGCGTCGGGCTGAAAATGGTGGGAGCCCCCATCTCAAGCGAGTACTTCCTGTGCTGGCCGATGATTGAGGGGGTGCAGGTACGTACCGCTTTAAAGCTCTTCGCGATTGCACTAGGCACTCCTCTCATGATATTCAAAATGTCCTCGTTGACATAGCGGAGTCTCCTCTTTGCTCTAGCACCATCGATGGCCTGGATGTCATATAGAGCTTCAATGGAAGCGGCTCAGAAGTTGCCGAGTTGAAGCCTCCGCAAGTCAACAATTGATGCCACAGGTCGTCGGAAGTTCGAACCCTCAATAGGCTCAGCGGCTACCGTTCTCTAGTAGTCTGCTTCCATTCCAGCAGGCCTCTGCAATCCGACGACTTCCGAACTGACAGCGCCCTGGAAGCTGAAACCTTTCAGTAGTTTCTGATGTATATTTCCGGCGATCCCGTAGATTGCTTTCGACCCCAACCACAGCGGCCACGGCTACCTCCGCAACGACATCGAGCACATGTTCAGGAAGATGCTGCCCTACGGCGCGCGGATTGCCCCGCCGTCGTGTCTGGCCACACCTTCAGCGCCTGCCTCACCCCGGTCCCTACCGACGTCACCCCGGTCGGGCCCCACGTCACCACGGTCCGGTCCCACGTCACCCCGAGGTTTTAGTACGAACGTCGAAGAAGTGCTGCGCGCGGAGACGGAGGTGGAGAATGAGGCGGTTGAGGAGGTGGAAGAGATGTCAATTCGGCCCGCCTCGAACCGGCAGATCGTGGCGAGCGTTCTGCGCACTCTGCGGGTAAGTCGTGCACGCCTTGAAGAGAGCGAGAGCTATTGAAACGGGTGGACGTGGTGGATTTCAAGTCAGAGTGATTGCAGACAGGCTTGCCTGATACTGCGGACTGTGCGGGTCAGGGGCGCATGCGTTAAGAGAGTCAAGAGCTTTGGACTTCATTTATACGTGTGGGATGTGAAGCTGAGGCTGGTAGCAGACAGGCTTTGCCAGAACGGAGGTCGTCAGGTGTTATCCCGGCCTAATGATTGATACCAACCAGTTTGCGGCTGCGTCTTTACTTCGAGCTTGCCATAAAAGAGTCAAGCAATGGACGAGCATGGAGGTGGAAGCCAGAACAGCGATGAAGACCCACGAGTGCACTCCCGCACACTTGCTTCTCACCACTTACACGTCATCCGCGCACCGTGCAGAACATCTCCCTGGCGCAAGCTGTGCGCGCGCTGCGCGAGTTCGCCCTCCAAGCCCCCCTCGGCCGCGCCTCAAAGCACTTCCAGTACTCCCTGGCCCCCGCCGCCATGCAGGGGGTGTTAGACAAGGACAAGATGCGACACGCCATCAGCCTCTCGGAGCGTCTTTTGCTGGTGACCCCGGAAGACGCGTCGGCCAGACGAGATCATGCCCTCATGCTCTACCATAACAAGTGAGCGATCCACTCTCCAATGATTTTTCAATCGACATGCAGCCCTCCCTGTTTTACTGGCGGCTCGTTTTAAGGGGATGGTTCGAGATGTCCAGAGGTCGAAGGGCTTGCATCGTTCCGCTTCCGTTCTCTACTCAGAAGTGGTCCAACTGCACCTCCTCGGTTGCTCAATCGACAGCTTGGTTGTGCGAGAAGATTTCTTCCAAAGTCCCCCGAAGAGCCTCCGGTTCGTCCTTCGCTCTAAACTACCGTAACTCAAAGCAGAACAATGACGAAATCCACCCTGTGCAGGCAATACGGGCAAGCAAAATCGGAGCTAGAAGTCTACATGGGGATGGACATTACGGAAGGCGACAGAGAAGCGGCACAGACCCTGATTGAGAGGGTGTGCCTCATGGCCCTGGAGGAGAAACTCTGGAGCTGAGAGAGTATATCGGACAACTGCTGTTAAGACGGCGGCGTTACTGTAAGAATGAGGTGGATGCATTGTTTGCGCCCATCGTTGTGAAAGGTGCATCTTTATTTGCTACGAGTTGATTAGATCCAGCTTGCTGCCCCTTAATCAAGTGAGAAAGGGCGGCATACGAAAGGTACACCGACAAAACAAAGTGGATCCCCATACTGGGCTGACACACAACTGGAAAGTTCCCAGCCTCTGCGCAAGCTTAGTAGACAGTGCAACATAAGTTATTGGTTTGTTTGACGATATCTTCTATATAAACATTCAAAAGATAAGAGCGCTCTCTTGTTAGTACAAGCTTCAAGGCCGACCGCAAGAAGCAGCTGACTAAATTTCGATGCCCAGCTGCGGGTGTAGCGCCGAGGTTCGCGATCTCAACCAGGAAATAATCTAGGAAGTTATTGGCAACAATCACCCTGGCTTCGGCCCGGTATTGCTCTCTTGCCAACTAAGTCGATCGGGGTCTCATCTGACAAGATGATAGAGCTGGCCCAATCATTGCGCCGTGAGCATGCAGCAATGTGGCTCTGAGATACGCACGTCACGCATGCAGCGCGGCCTACAATAGGATACTACGAAGCGACGGTCGCAAGGTGTAATGACCGAGAAATAAAGATGAGCTTCCTGCGTGAAACCCATAGCTTAGCATTGAATCCAGTGCAAGCCGCTATGTCGTAATGATCCATGCAATATGAACGTCGTCACATGTTGTCCAGAATCAACCGTCTTAGCTAAAGGCCTTGGTTCGCCAAGCGTGTCGGAAGGATCAATGGCGGCACGCGCGTACGTATATTTCTTTGCGCGGCACCAAAGATTTGCTGACGTCAGCTTCTTCGATATGTGCTTCTCACAAGAAAGCTGGCAGGTGGAGGCTCCAACTTAAGTGCTCTCAGTTCAACACACCTTGATCATTCCGGAAATTACTTTCTACCCCTTTGCAGGCTTGATATGGTAAGGACGAATCATCGTTTTTTTGGAACAGGCAATCCGATGATTAGATAGCTGCGGAGTGAAACCGTTTATTGGTCATAGCCGTCTGCAGATCATAGTGAGCGGGCCGGCAGGTAGCTTCAAGTCAGCCGTGTGAGGTGCAGTGATGTCATCGATCGAAACATGCTACATAGTGTCAGTCCTCCGCTAGCTTGTGCTTGATGATTATGAATCGAGACGTCCAAACCCGAAACTTCAATCATGAATAATCTCGGTTGTCATTTCGGACGCACGTTCGTACCCAGAAGCTTATCGCGTCCCAGACTTCACCAATCCAGTCTCTGTCAAAGCTCTGCGTATGACCTTGACGATACGCGTTAGCCGTAAGCATGCACGAGTGGGCAAGCTTGGCGCGCAAATATTTGATCAGGAGTGCGCTTGATTGAGCGGGAAGGGGTTTGAAAAAACTTGCAGGCAGCTGGAGGCGTCAACACTACTCAGCGGCACTCAGCGGTCGCTTCTTCCGGCGTGCTGGCACACATCAAGAAAGCGTAATAGACTTGGCAGAGTTCTTGAAGGAGCTGAAGATAGAGGTTCCAGCGAGCAGCGTCCTTGTCACCGTTTCCCACCCGTTTGCCGACTTTCTCAGCTCGATGCGCTTTGAACATCTTAGAGGCCTTCACTCAAGCTGAGGATTTCGAGCTGGTCTAGAGCTCACGGCTGCCAGACAGAAGGTAGAAAGGGGCCAGCTAGGCAAGTCAGACAAGCTGTCTCCTTGAGCGTCGAACCCCCGACAGATACCTTGGGCGCTCCTTTCAGAAGCTCTGGAACAAGACGCATTAGAGAAGTCTTTCTTCACCACATTTGGCTCTGGTCTGAGCTCTGAGGGGAAGTAAGCTGGGAATGCGAGTCCTGTGACGAGACGAAATCATCTCAAGAAAGCTGCAGACAATCTGCTGATATCGGACTGAGCGAAGATGTTTTACTCGCACCAGCTCTTGTCGAAGAAGGGACCTCTGGGTCAGATTTGGTGAGTGTGACCTTTTAACAACTGTGAGGAAGTTCCGCTTAAGGAACCAGAAGAGTAATAATTATCAGGACAGAATCAGATTGTTTGGACAAGGAGTCAGATAAATTGAGCCAGTGGTTCAGCTTAAGAAGATTTCACATGAATCGATGACTGTTCAACAGGAGCTCCATGAGCAATGGAAGGAAGAACGATTCTCGTGACGCATATCTTGAAGCAGCCAAGGAATTTGAACGGAAGGACCAGTCTCAAAGTGTACGGCAAATGAGAACAGATCCAAATATTTGGCTGTTTTCTGCCTCTTCTCTGGAAGGTAAGTGGGATTACACTTGTGAATGGAGACTTAATCCTAAAATTGGGTTTGCACGTGACACGTGTGCAGGATTGCGGCAACAATACAAGGGAAGATGAACAAGAAAAAAGTCGAACGGATTGATATCACGGAGATCTGGTAAGCAACTATTATGGGGTCCGTTTGCCGGTCAGAGCATAATATATGCTGCGAAGAACACCGTGTCACGATATTTATATCCCGGCAATCTTGGAACATCGACAACTACTACGCAGTGCTGCAATTAAAAAACCTCCATTTTCCACTCGCTAGACAGGATATGCTGACTCTCTTTCTGTTGAATCTCTTCCAGCACGCACATCATTGAGCCGCAAGTTCCTCTTGCCCTTAGGCTGTCAGGGATTTTGATGGGAGGCGTCGTGATTGTGTACAGTCGGAAGGTTAACATACTCCTCGGTAAGTTTCTTGACCCAAAACTTGGAATGGTGCAAGCGGTATCTGCTATCCTCTGGGCCTAACTTTACGTTCAATCACATGAATTCATCAGCTTTCAAGAGATTGCACCTCCTTTCGGTGTCTCATTCATAGCCTCTATTAAAGAGTTGTTTTGCCTTCCTGCAGATGATGCAAACGACTTCCTGGTGAGTTTGAAAAGCGCCTTGGCATCAATCTCTCGTGGTTCCCTCCATCAAAAGCTGCAAAAATTTTCCTAGATAACTCGATTTTTGAACTTTCTGGAATGCTTCTGCAATTCTCATTTGCATGCAGATCTCAAACTCTGACTATCCTCGCGACTTGTTATTGCAGACAAAGCTCAAAAGCGTTATCGCTGCGAAGCCAGCCGATAACATCAATCTACCGAAGAATCGGCAGAGTGCCAAGTTCGACGCCATCACTATCCAGCGTGTTGATCTAGCAGCCTTCGGAGACATCGAGAGGCTGCTTCTTCATCCGCATGGAACACAGACGCAAGAACCCCTGGTAAGCTGTCATTCTGATGATCACAAGTTGAACAGATAGGTCCCTAGGAAATCAAATGCTTATGGTGGAACTTTGCAAAGAGATAGCGCGCTCAAATTTGTCTCAGTCTGACTTCGTTTGGTGCCTTTGCGACAGGGCGAGGACTTCTTTGTCATGCCGCGTGTCGAGGCCGAGAAGGACACGTTGAGAAAACGCGAGAAGCATCAAGGTATGTGAAATTCTTCTGCGAGGCATGAAGTTAAAGTGATTCACGAGCAAAGCATCAGCCTAATGCCACAGTTTGATATACATAATGCCTCTTTCTTTTCCAGCGTGAACACGATATGATCATCTTCGCTCTTCATTTCCCTTTGCAGCTCGATCCGAAAACATCACACTCGACGAACGGCTGCCTGAAGATGCGAATGACATGCTGAACAGGTATGCATCTCACTTTCATCTGCTTACAGCTGATGCATGTCAGCAATTTAGCACGCATTTGAAATGCAAATTTATCTTCTACGCTTCGAAGCAGGCGTGCTCTGACGAACTAAAAAGCAAGCTTATGAGATTTGGCTTACAGGAACTCACTCGAAAAGCTCAACATGCAGAGAAGAGGCAGACGACATTCTTCCACCGCCTGACCCTATGGAGATGGACTTTCTCGCAATGCCTCAAACGGACTTCGCTGACCTGCCAGACATGCCGGACCTTCCCCTCCCCGGTAAGCAGCCAGAATTTCATGTCAGCTTCATCTGGTGCATACTCATCGCCAATCCTGTTGCCGAAATTAACAGGCGCTGTCACTTAATCTGGAGTGTAAAATTTTGCACCTTGGAATTTCACATGGGCACGCTCTTAACTTGCGCCTGAAAGCATTGCGTGCATCTTTGCAGATGACATTGCCTTTCCAGCTGGGGGACTTGACACAATCATGGAAGAGACGAAGCAGGAAGCGGAGGAAGAAGCAAGGTCCACGGTAATCGATGTCCCTTCTTGACACCCTTCAGTATACTCGCCATGCTAAAGCGGAGTGTTTCCTGTATCCCTGTTGGAAAATGTCCTGTTTACAATCCTTGCGAGGATCTTACAAATATCCTCAGATGGTGGCTGATGCAATTGCTGCGTCACTCTGATCCAACGAAGCTTATCCCATGCAGCCTCCTGACCTGAAGACTCCGACAAAGCCGAAGCGCGCCAGGCGAGGGAGGAAGCGCCAGGTTTTCATCGACGAGATCACAGAAGTACCCGCTCCGGAGTTTGACAGGTGGCTGAAGGATTCATCGGAGTTGGTCGGGCGGGGAAAGAAGGTAAGAGACGGTGTCTTTGCTTGCTTCCGGAGGTTCCTGAGAAGACCTGACAACTGAAGCTTGTCTCCTTTCAGTGACATCTGTATATCTACGAAATTTCCGAGCTTGCACGATCCTGCTAACCTTCGCATATGTCTTTCAGAAGTTGCTGAATGTAAGATAGAAAATGCAAATCAAATCTTTGAACTTTTCACCATGCAGCGCCGCGTCAGGACCGAGCTGGCAACCATCAACAAGCTTTTCCGGCTGCCGTGCACCATGCTAAGAAGGAACATCCACGGAGAGCCGATCAGCGACTGGTCCCCCGAGCTGCTGACAATCTTTGAAGAACGGATCAACACGAGGGATGCCGTCAAGCTTGAGAAGAAGAAGCGGAGCACAGGCGCAGGTGTTATGCAGGAGGAAGGCGAAGGTAAGCTTCGTTCATGTTTCCGCATACCGGGCACATACTTCCCTGCAGGGACAGAAAGAAAGGATCACACTCCATACATATGTTTGACCCATTAAACTTTCGTCATCTGAGGCCTGTTCAAAATGTGCTGATGGGGCTAAGGATATGCTGAAATGTTTGATATTCCTCTTCTGCAGAGCTGGAGGAAGAAGCGCAGAACACACAAGCAAGAGCCGAACCAGAGACGTTCTTCGAAGGAGGAGACTTCGTCGACTTCCCAGCACCGGACATGCAAGACATCGACTTCGTAAGAGCGCGTTTTCTCAAAAGTTACTTCATTTACTAACAAAAGCGGACCAGAAAGCAAGGATAGCAATAGCTTTGTATTCGTAGACATGAAAGACTAACTGTGTCAGTGGAGAACCACTCAAACGGGCGCGCTTTTGCAGCTTCCACAGTTCCGGCCCCTGCCTGCAAGTAACAGATTTCGGAATGAGATTACCAGCGGCGCGTTTTGTCGTGCAGCCCCTGCCAGACAACGAGGAGTTTGGCTCCGTCGAGAAGCTTCGTGCTGCGCTGAAGACTCCTGCCAGCAATCCGGACGACGGCTTCGGGGATTTCACACCCATACGGCCTGGTGAGCCTGTCTCCGTAACCATGCATCATAAGGTGTCTGACCGCCTGCTGTATCCTGCTGGAAAACCGTTTCCTAATTCTCGTGCTCTTTGAATCTGGAATTTGCGCAAAGAACAAAGGAAAATTGTAAGTGATTTGGTATTTGGGTTTCGTTTCCTTGCGTGCAGGTCTCGGCCAAGTTGACGGCAGCGCTCGTTCAAAGCTGAGCAAGCAATCGGGCGCCTCATCGCGGTCTGGCCGGCTCGCCATGGACGACGACGTCGACGCTCCAACTACGGGAAAGTGAGTGCAGGCGCCTTTTGTAACTAGGTGAAGGGAAAAGATAGTCGGTCTTACTCGCTCGATCTCCCGGGGTTAGGCTTTCCGCGCGCTCTGGCTGTGCGTGCCAGCCAAGAAGGGTTAAGAAGAGGTGCTTTGCTTTTCAGGGTTTCTGAAAACCTTGTCCCACGCGTTTCTTTCCGTCTGTGCGTTCCGTTTAGAGTCTGGTGCAGATTGAAGTCCTCATTCCCACTGCTTTTCCATTCTTTGTAACAAAGCTCTCTGTCCAAACCCTCTACGCAGGTCCAGACGAGCGCAGCGCCTGTCAGAGGTTCTCAGCCAAGCGGGCATCTCGCCTGCGCTCAACGGTCCGTTTGGGGGCGACATGCTACCTGACATCGACGGCGAGTCTCCGGGACAGCAGCGACTTCAGGAGGCACTTTCCATGCAAGCCAGTAAGTCGAAAAGCAGCCCTAGGGCATGTATCGCGGAGGTCCGACTCCAGGGAGTTGTCCGAAATAATCCAAAAGAGTTCTTTTGAAGGCTTGCTACCGACAAACGGTCGTTTTCACGTGTTTTGATGGGAACCTTGCAAGCTCACTGTTTTCTTTTGTTATTTTCTTTTTCTTTCCCAGAAAAAAAGTTGTCAGGGCGCCTCTCTGTATAACCTTGTTGAGTAAACAGCCTAGCTCGCTTCTGAAAAGGTGCCTCCGAAGCAAAGCCACCGACGTCCTCCTCGCAGGTCTGTTGGAAGAAACGGCACCTGTCACGCAGGCACGTTACGTCCACGATGCCATCGATCGCGTCACTTCAAACGTCATGAAGTGAGTTTCTTGCATTACGCGCCCGCTCAAACTGTCCTCTGGTATCCACGTTCCCGCTTTATTTTCCTAAGGAGATCACAACTAAGCCTCTTTCTGAGTCGGACAGCCAACCACCTTCACTGACGCTCTCTTGAGGCACCTCTACAGTGATGCGCTCGCTTGCGTATTCTGGGTGCGATCAGCAAGCCAAGAAAGTACCTTTCCCTGCTGCAGTGACTCTGGGGAGCTTGAAGCCTCTTAAGAAACACGTTCAGCACCAACTAGAGTAGCCACTTTTTCACGGCTTGTCATGTATGTACTCGTTAAAATCTGAAGCCGCGTTCTTCTCTTGGATCAGCTACATGCGCGAGCAGTTCGACGCAGAGCAGGAGAAGCAGGAGGAGCCCCACCTGTCCATGGATGAGATGACCAGAGGCCTCGACCGAACCCAGGCCGCCCGGTTCTTCTACCAGGTCTGCGGTAGGTGACCGTACGTCGACAAGCGTCAGCTCTGGCTTGTTCAGCGTCCTGGCAATTCATCCAAAAGACTGCTCATTTCACTTGATAATAACGTCCGACAGCAGGAGCGTGTCCTAAACCAGCTTTGAATCTTTCAGTCTCCAACGATGGGGGATCTTGAACATGGTCAAGATGATAGTCACTACTGTGGAAATTGGCTGCTTCTTCATGGTAAAAAGCTGAGAAAAGCTCTACTGATAAAGTTGAACGAAAAGGATGTGGGTAGTATGCTCTCTACGTTTGACAGTCTCCCACCCCCTTGAGCGGAAACCGTGACAGATAGTCCTTGTAGTGGTCCTGCAAACGGACTTGAAGCTTGTTCATTCACTGACCTTGGCGCTCGTGGCACTCTGCAGTCATGACATCGAACCGCTTTCTCAAGGTCGAGCAAGCAGAGCCATACGGGGACATCTTGATGCTTAGAAGTAGGTTGCTGTAGTGTTAGTCAGATTGCACACGCGCAGCTGGTTGAGGCTAGCTTTCGTGTCAAAACCACCTACTAAACGATTGAGAATGAATGGGTTACAGTACCGTACTGAAAGTGTTTCTTGAATCATGAGCAGGATGCTACCCAAAAGAGGGAAGAGAGAAAGCCTCCCTGACAAGTGCAAATATTGAGCCAATGAAGTATAAATGCTACGCCAGCGATGGAGACTTCGATTCCACGCTTGATTCACACGTCTTTGGCGGATGTAATCCGGCCGGCAGCGATGACAATCCACGCACTGAAATACTTCTCCCAGGACTTTGGCAAGCCTTGCCCGGCAGCGTCGGCTCTGCAGCGCGGGAGCCAGGCCGGAGCCGCTTCATGTCACTCAGCGTGCGGCCGCCCGCGCTTCTGCTAAGGGGGCCCGCGGCCGGACGCCATGCGCGCGCTTATTTTCTGATTGCCGAATCCGCGGCCGCCTCGGCGGTCGCGCCCAGACTTCGAAACTTTCATGAAGCTGCTGCAGAGTCCAGACTGCAGACTCAGTCTTCTCTTACCATTTCAATTTGCCAGCGTTTGATCATTTGTCCTGTGCTACAAAAAGCAGCTACTTATAATTATCAATCCGGAGCTCCTGCAAGAGGAGGGGCTGATGATGAAAGCTGAGGATGGCCCTGGTGGGGCCGCTCGCGCTTTCACAAAGCATGACGTGTCGGGTGGCGTGCATTTGGAAAGAGGGCCCAACTCAGCCCCTGCGGACAGCACGGACTTGCGATCAGAAGATCTAGAACAACCAATGTACCCCAGGTCTTTTGAATCCAGCGCCGATGTTTCTAACCTCAGCAAACGAGCCCCCTGGTGGAGTAGATGGAGGACGTCTGGAAGCTGGCAAAAGGTATCCACTTCTGAAAAGGAACCGAGCCCTCAAGCCCGGGGACCCCACGGACCGAGCAGAGGGTCCAAGCTTCTCGCAAGCGTGGCGGGCGCTTCAGTCATTGTCAATCTAGTCTTGCTGATGTTGTTGCTGGTAGCTTCGGGGCTCTGGCATGTGACGTCCGGTGGGGGGATAGCTTTGCTCGGAAGCTGGGCGGTCGACGAAGCGAGCACCGTGTTGGCTGCAGAATCATTCGTTTGTTCGGGGCGAGGGGTGCGGTATGCAGACACGACCGGGGACGGCTGCGAGTGTGACCAGTGCTATCACGGCCTGGACTGCTCGGAGCTCATGTCAAACTGCTCCGTGGATCTCAGCAGGTATGCCCAAAGATCTCTGCATTGTTTTTGGAACCTAAAATCCTTCTTTCAGTATCAGCTGGTATTTGCGCCCCACTGACTGTTGAATTACTGACTCTGGGTGGTTATAACCTGCCGGAACCCCGCAAAAAAGGGTTGAAGATAGGAGGAACTCTGGTGATGATGGAGGTCCATGTTGTGAATCACAAGCAGTGGGAAGGTGTTATGAGAAAGAAACAAACAATCACCCGTGCTTGGAAATAGAGTGATGCATTTACTTCTATTGTTCGGGCTTTACTTTCTCAAAAGAGATCTCTTCATCAGCTCGTTAGCGAACTTGACCTTCGTCTCTGCACGTCGCTGCTCATGCCTCATCTTTCAGATCTTTGAGGTCTGTTGTTGACAGCGTGAATTGGTGCGCAATTCCGGTGGGTGCGTAAGCCTGGTTTCATGAAAAGCGCTCTGCCTGAAGTCATGGGTGCAACTATTGTCTGATCCTGCTTTCAAAGTACAAGACAGAAGGAGCGCATCCGTGATGGGCTGTAACAGGCATTCTAATCCCCCAGTTCATTGTCCACTCAGCCTAGTTGGAGCTCGGAGAATCTAGACAGGAACCAAGAGAGCAATAAAATATGAAAGCAGACTCTGAACCTTCCCAGGAAAGACTGAACGGAAACTGATACTACAAATGGAGACTCAGGCAAAAATCTACCCCTTCACTGCAGCGGCACCCCGACTCTGTTCCAAGATTACTGGACGGCAAACCTCGAAGCAAGCGCTGCCTTCATTCCGGGGAACTTCCGCCTCGGCTACTCGGACGGCAATCTGGAGGGGCTGGAAAGCGCGGTCCGAAAACTGCATGCAACTGTGGGGAATGTCAACATGGACGGCCGACAGCTGGTGATGTCAGCGGGGTCAACACAAATGATCTTTGGGCTGCTGTATGCGATAAGCGCCGTGAACAGGGAGAACGGTTTCCAGGGGAAGACGGCGGTGACGTCAGCGCCACCATACTATAACGTGAGCGGTTTACAGTGTGTGTCCTCTTCTTCTTCCGCTCGAAGATGCGTGTCTTCTTTTTCCACGCCTTTCTTTACTGGAGTTTCTTAGCCGTTCTTTCTCTCCGTCCTCCTCCCATTTGACCAGTTACAAGACCAGCATGACACTGATCAAAAGTAGGTTGACCATGACGTCAGCAACCCTGTACTATACTGTGGGAGGCAAGCGAGTTTGAGTCGAATTCTGCCTGCGACCGGCAATCACTTTATGCTCAGACAAGGAGTAGAGGCAATTCCAGGCTTTCAATCGGATCCCATATGACATCTGCCTGTATTGCGCATGTCGCAGTTGCCTGGCTTGTTTGCGCGTTGCTTCTCGAAGCCATCTTGGGCAGACTCAAATCAATGCCGTTGGTGCCTGACAAAAACGCATGTTCAAGGCTTGTCCCAGCTTTTGAAATGATTGCGTGGGCTTTTCTCAGGAAGTGGAGGCAGTCCAATCAGGAAGCTGAAGCGGACTCCTAGTTATCCAATTGGCCGCAAGTATCTCTTGACGAACTAAATTCTTGTTCTAGTGTGTGATAAAAGCTTCTGAAGGTTGTCGGGTCCAATAGATTTTAGTGGTGGCGACGAGCATGTACATTAGGAGACGCTACTTTTTCTGTGGCTTCTTCCACCTCTTCGGTGTGGGTTTATTCCTCCTCCAGTATCCGTTTGTAAGAGAACAATGGGGCTTGAGCATCGAAGGCCGTGAGAGTTGCTCGACTCTTTCAAGGAAGGGCGAGTAGATTTGTTGTCGTGCTGCAATTTTCATTTTCAAGACCACGTTCAGGAGGGAAGGAATTCTGATGCTGGGTCCGCCGGAAACCACGCGTAAGGCCTGCTCCTAAATCAGCTGCCAGGTGCATCTGGCGCGACCAGTCGATTCAGCCGCTCTTTGTCTCAGCTTTCCAGTTATCGGCACCTTATTTTGGACCTGACGCCCACCGACTGCCAAGGCTCGAACCACTTCAAGCTTTCTGCTGAACCCTGATCGTTTATCCGTCGCTTTCCCCCTCCCCAGCTGTACTCGTACGGGACAAAGATGGAGAGTTCCGAGCTCTTCGAGTGGCGCGCCTACGCTGACGTCATCAACGCGTCAGCACCCAGTATCAACTTCGTCGTGAGCCCGAACAACCCCGACGGGCGCTTGGGGGATCCGGAGTTTCCGCCGCCCTCGGTTGCGATCCACGACTTCGCTTACTACTGGCCGCACTTCACGGCGATCACTGCGGAGGCGGATTATGACGTCATGCTGTTTACGCTGTCCAAGGTGTCGGGCCACGCGGGGTCTCGCGTTGGGTGAGAAGCAATCTCACTTTCTTATGGTTTCAGGGTTTTAGAGTTTTAGGGTCTTTGGGTATTTAGCTATCTACTGGTTGCTTGTGACACACCTGAGGCCTGCCAAACCGGACAGATGGGTTTTCAAAGAACTCCGATTGAGCAGGCTCGACGCGTTCAATAATTGCTAAGTCGAGTCAGATTTATGATGAACCATTTATACCTTCCTCTCAAGCCAACTGTACTCGACCTTATAGTGCAGATATTGTACGTTAAAGCTCGGTCTGGAGGCCTATCTGCGGTAGTCCCTAAGCGTCGGTACCTCCTTTCTTTGACCGATGCACATCAGAAGAAACTTCAGGACTCGGCTTTTACCCGGAACGCCAGGGTAGCGGACTTTCTTTGACTTAGCCTTCAAGTTTCCCCGCATCATCTGCCGCTATACGCATAAGCTCCAAAACGTCACCTGAACCTCAAAGCTGACCTCAAACCCTTCGAACTTGCAGATGGGTTTGGCTAAGGAACGCCAGAATACCGGAAGTCCTTTGACTATACCTCTCCGTCTGCAGTATAACCGTGTCACGAGACTCCTCTTTTCCAGGACGTAAATGTATCCTTAACCAACTGCTTAATCCCTTACTTGACCGTGACCTTTGACGCCAATTTTGCAGGTGGGTTTGGCTAAGGGACGCCAGGTCAGCGGAGGTTCTTCGACTATACCTTATGATCCACAGCTTCACGATGTCACTCAACTTGTACGTTCTAGAATGTAACCTCAGTCTTAACCCTGACCGTAACCCATCCATCTTCGCAGGTGGGTTTGGCTAAGGGACGCCAGGTTAGCGGAGGTTCTTCGACTATACCTTATGATCCACAGCATTACTATGTCACACGAGTCCCAGTACCGCGCGATCAAGCTCATTTCCGCGATCACTGACGGGTATGCAAGCGCCGCCGAGCGCACTGCGAGCCTCACGGGGTTCACGCCGCAAGCAGGTGAGGTTGACGTCAGCGAATGCGATGGAACGCATTGCTTTGTTTGCTACAGAGGTGTGCTTCTTTGCAAGTCGTCCTAGGGTCTGGGTATTCGAGCGCTTCTTAGCTTGACATGAAGGCAGGGGGAGTTCAGCTGCCGTTTTACGAAAATCAGTGGAATTTATTGGACTGCTTTCAACGAATTGATTCCACTCTGAACTCATCGCATCTAGACCTGACATGCGTCCCACTCCATCGTTCTTTTGCAATTTCGTTCCGGTTTCACCAACCTGCGGGCCGGGTACCTTTATCTGGCCTCTGTAAGCGATTCAAAAAGTCCTGCTTTGTAAACTACTATGCTAATCACTTAAACGAAGACTATTTGATGAAAGTAAACAACTCGGTGCTCTCATTATTGTGGGCGTTCCCCCTCCCCTGACCGCCACGTGTCGTCCTCCCATTTGCAGCCGCTGCCGAGGGGCGCCTGTTCCACTTCGCGAAGCTCGTGATGCAGAATAGGTGGGACAGACTGCACTCCGTGTTGGGAACGACGGGGACCGATTCTCAAACGAGAGTCACCATTCAGGCGTTGCCGCCCGCAGCTTCCTGCGGGTTCTTCCAGCAAACCGTCACTCCTTCCCCTGGTGAGGTTTAACACTTTTTCTGCGGGTTGAGTGTTGATCAAGGCATCCCCTTGGTAAGAAAGAACAGACCTTTTTCCTAGCAACCCTGCTAGTAAGGTGGAGGTTTGAGTCAGTTAGTTTACTGGAAATATTGAGTGGGATCCACTACTGTAATTTCGCTGGCTCTAAAGACCAGCAAGTGGCTCGGAAGTCAACCGTAGGTTCTTGTTGAACGAACTGTCCACGGTGTTGAGAAGGGTACCTGCGACGAGATCTTAGTTCTATGCAAAGCTTGACCTTGGGTGATGACGCCCCGCCTAGTGCGAAATTCCAAGCAGTAGTATGGTCTTTTTACATGGTCCTGCGGTTGCCAGACAGCTAACGCTGACTTTGGTGTGGGCTTGGCAGTCGATGATCCGACGTTTAGGATCAGCCGAGATTAATGTGGGTTCAGAGCCTTCCCTGTACGACACACCTCTATCGCCGATATTGAAAAGTAAACCCGCTTCGCCTTGTCTCACTGCTTTTGACCCCACCGAAGCTTCGCGACCAAGCCTTTCCGAAAGCACTAGCTCTTCCCGCTTATGACTTTCCAATACGTCACTCACAAAATTGTCGCTTGCAGCCTATGCGTATTTGCACTGCCGCTTGGCCACCGATCCAGACTGCTTCGAGCTTCTTCGCGCGAACGGGATCGTTGGACGTCCGGGTGTGGTTTTCGGAGGCGATAGTTCATTCGTACGGCTCAGCTTGCTCGGTCGAGAAAGCGACTTTGTATTGACGCTCGAGCGATTGAAGACCATTGCCGAATCATGACTGTTTGATGCGCACTGAAATTGTAGACTTACACTATTGTACAAAGCTATCAGCCTAGGTTAAACACAGGCAATGTACCCTGCGGTAACTCCCCCTACAATAGTTGTAGTGTACACTCAGGTCATGCTGCAATATATAAGAGCCCGTGTAAAATTAAGTCCATCATTTGTTTGAAAGCATGATTGCAGATCGAAGAAGGTTATAGTCAGAAGCGTCTCGGATGACCCTTAAGAAATTCGAGAACCATGGCTGGGTCGTTCGCATCTCGAGGCTAGAGGCCTACTTTCAAGTTTAAGGTCTTTCAATTGAGCCTCTATAATATTAGCACCTGCTGTGTCGAATCAGCTTGTGCTTAATTCAAATTATTTGGGCAATGCTGATTCGATTCACTGAAAATGCATCGGAATGGAAGCAGATTCTAGAACTGACTCTGAGCTCATGGCAAGCAATGAGGCTGGGGCCGGGCTTCTATCACTTGCAATCAAGTGCTCGTTTCCCGACTTATGCATCCGAAATAACCAGCTTAATCAGTCGGAGCGAACTCTAGCAAACGTGAGGCCGCCTGCTATGCATGCCAGTGTGAATGATCGATGGCGCAGGCCGCATATAACAGCTCGCGCTAGAAGATGCTTTCTTGTCGGCTGGAGGGTAAAAGCATTTGAAGCACTTCAAACCCCAGTCCCCAAAACCTCACATTCACTTACGTTACAGAAAATTCATCCAAATCAAGCCACTCAAATCGCGCGATGAGCCGCGGGGCTCAGGCGCGCGCGCCCAAGTTGCTAGCCAATATATGGTGCCGCGCGATCGGGGACGGTGATCGACACTACAGGGTTACGGGCTTGCGAAACAGCCGCGGGTGCAACACACATATTCCATAGGATATCAGCATGTCATATGGCAGAGTAAGATCACTGGCCTAATTATGGAACTGTCGATCACGTAGACCAATGAGCTGGGCCATACCGCGAACAGTAATCGGATCGCTTGATCCAGTTATACTAATTGATCTTAGTTTTAATAATAGGTGACATAGTGACCAGTGATTAACAACCCCCTAAATCCGTGGCGCACAAAAGTGGGCATACGGTAATACGGGCCTGCGAGCGCCGCACACCAGTGTGCGGCTGCCCTCGAAAAGTGCCGCACACTTTCTGCTGGGTTGAGCCAGAACGTGGCCACTAACTTGAGCCCACTGCCCAGGGTCGCTGAGGCTTGGTTTCGGCCGGGTCCATTTCTTAACCTGTCTAACCTGCGAGAAAAATGCGCCAGCTAGGATGCTTGTTGCGCGCACTTATAAGTAGCACGTCATAGCCTTCTGGGGTTTCCAAAGGCCTTCTGTACATATGTGCAAGCTGACGGTACATTAAAGCATGTGGGTCAGCACTATAAGCAGTGGCTTATTGCCCAGTAAGGGAAGCCTACTTATATAGCAGTTGTCTTCAAAGGCACGTCGATGTGGCTGTATATATTTGGAATATATACAGCCGCGAAGTAACTATCTGGGGGCGCTCGTTCATATAAGGTAAGCTAAGCTGGACAGGGACCGGGGCCCGGGCACAATGCTCGGACGTAGATGAATTCTTTAAATCGAGGCCGGAAGTGCCCGGTAAAAGTTGCTTGAAGCCGGTTCAAGGCCGTCTTTGATGCATTTTGGTCAATAAGAGTCCGGTATTCCGGGTGCAGGCTTGCATCATAGGCGCACACAGTGTGCGGCTGTGTCCCAAATTCTGCCGCACAAAGGTGGGCGGCTGGCCTGCGGCCAGCCGCACTTTGTACCTGGCGCGTGCGCGGCGCGTTAAACACTGATAGTGACCGTCGCTTCAAGCTTGTCCATGAGTGTGAGCTTCGCCGAGTCGTACGTTCAATTTGCATGATGCACGGGACCGTACCGTACGAGTCCGGGGCGCCCAACCGCGGCCGCGCGCGCTGCCACTACGCGGGGGTTCCGAGCTAGCACTGCAGAGAGGGATCCCCGGGCGCCCTGGTCAACGACTGCACACTTCTGGCTTTCGATGACGACACCGGAGTCGGACTCGCCTGTCGGAAGAGACTCGAGAGTTGACGGCCCATGGAGCGGCTTGCGGCTGCTCGTTGGCTCGTGTCACTGGGGACAATAGTAGCAACTAGTCAACAGTCTGAACAGTCAGGGGAACTCCCTGCAGTGCGGCGTGCGAACTACAATACTGTATTGGTCAATGGGCGACCCAGCTGGATTGCAAGAGTATCTCAGTAGCAATTGACTTCTTTCTTTTTACGTTCTTCCAAGCGTGGAACAATTAATTCCTCAGCTGCTCCAACCTTCAAGCTCATACTAGTACAAGGGATTGCAGTTTCAATCCTCTGGTGCAGCTGTCACTGCAGTGCCTGCGTGACCTTTGCAGTCAATGCAGTTCACGCTCACGTCTGGAGTGCCGCAGCCTGGGCCGAGTATCTCGTGAACAACCAGTCAACGACCTTTAACTTCAACCACTCAAAGGCAGTTAGATACCTAAGTGCTAGCGGTTACCCAGCAAGAGCCCTAGCATATATTCGCCTCCAGTCCACGGTTATACCGTAGATCAGGATTGTGACGAACTCTTAGTCATCATTGCGGGTACTCATGCAGTAAGTGTCCGATTGTCAGCTGCAGCCGTGTCGAGTCTGCACTGGATGAAAATTTCATACAGGTTGAAGCAGTCACATAGCTCATGCACGTGACTAGGCTGGAAAGTCAGCACAGCTACAAGCGAGTCTCTTCACTGATACTGTAGAGGTAATTCTAGGACTATATCAAGCATTGCCTGTTGCCATATAGATCAACACTTGAGTGTACTTATATGCTTCAGAAACGTACAGAAACGCACCATCCAGCTTGTCAAACTTCTCAAGGCCAAGACCTGAAGACAGCGCCCCTGATCAGCTGCCTCAATTTTTTCTTCAGTTGGATTTGAATACCTAGCGACCATTTCCCTGGATCTACAGAGCATATATTCGTAAGAAGCGTCCGAAGAACCGAGCTAGCCTCCTCAGCCCCCTTCCTTTGCCAACCCTTATAGAACAGCTAGTACTACCGTCTTCACTTAGCGCCTTCGACAAGCAGTGGAGGACCGGATTGTCCGACCAATCACAACCGAGGGCAAGACAGGTAAGATGACGGCGTCTGAGAGTCCGTTTAAGAATAAATATACTCATATAGAACGTGGTTTATGATGGTATTACAGGCTCATTGCTTGCATGCGTGATATCTCCAGGTCAGCCAGACAATATGCTCAAAATTCTTCGGTCGTAACGACTTGATGCCGCCATCCAAAAAGGAAGAGAGCAACGACGGACCACATTTAGCAAGCTCAAGATCAATCAGGATACGCATTCATTCTGATACCAAACACAGCACCCAACTCAGCATGCAGAAACGGCGGTCAGCTGGCTAACTTCCTTTTCCTCACGTTCACAGAACGCAAAAGCTTGAGGGGATGGCGAAGCTTCAACTACGGTCTGGAGCTGTGCTGGCACTTCTGATCTTCGTTGCTGCACTAACAAACGGTATCAATGCACAGCCGACGGGAACTGGTGGGTCGTCTCCTGTGCTCTTGCTTGACCTATTCCTATTTTCTGTGTGTCACGCTTGCTTAGATTCCTTCCCGGCTTTCGGCTTGCGTAAAGGAGTGTGGTCAGCAGAAAAAGCAGCGCCGCAACAGGTCTGTCAGATCACTTTTTCTGCGGTCGAGATCATGCAGGCCGTGCAAACCAAATGTCATAACCTTTCTCTGCTGAGTTGATAAGTGAACGAATTTCGACGCAAGCCTGATTGCGATTCGGAGAGGATCGAGATAGTACTACTTCTAGGCAGGGGGATTGGTAAGAGGTGGTTCTTGATGTCGGAAAATGTGAGACTAGTCATGCTCTGCGTCTGGGACAGAGAAACTCTTATTAAGAAAGTGAGTGCTGAGTTTTGATGTGAAGCTTCTGACGTGCTTTCACCATCGCATTCACAAGGCTTGTTGCAACTCTCTTTTTTTCCTTTACCTTCCCCTTGAAGGCGTGAGCCGAATGATCGGTGCAAACGTACTCCACCCAAGCCAGAACAAATGCTTGATGAAGCCCTCGCTTCGGGTCAAGATCGTCCCCCGTCAGAGTCCGACGATCTTCCTCGGCCCTTCGTTGAACCAGCACTAGTTGACGATTTAACCACTGTGACCGTCCTCTTGCAGGCTCTTTTCCAAATGGAACGCCGTCCTCGAATCAGCAACCGGCCGCAACGCACCCTCCGCAAGTCATAGTAACCGATCCTCCGAAGGAGACCGAGAAGCCAACCGAGAAACCCGCGGAAACCACCCCCCCTAACCCGACCGAAACCCCAAAGTCAACTGAGAAGCCAACGGAGAAACCTTCCG